CCTCGCACGCTCTCATTCTGCTCGGCTCGCGCGCGTCCGTGCCCCTTCGGCGGCCTCTCAGTTTTCGATCCCTCCGCGTGGCCCGTTTTCCTCGGCTCCTCCGCGGCGATCGTCGACGTCTCCCCTAACGCCGGCTCCTCCGCCACGGTGGAGCCGGCCGGAGACACCGGCGGCTCCGACGCCCACTGCGCGGAGCTCGACAACAGCACCGACGCGGTCGTCATCTCCACCGACGTGGGCGTCTTCGCGGAGGAGACGTACTGCACGAGGACGTAGATCAGGAAGAGGCCCAGCCGCAGGGGCCACCTCCTGCGGCGCGCCTGCAGATTCCGCGGCCTGCATCTCATCGTCTGCACCTGGAACGAATCGAACATCAGTCTCTCCCCTTTTATCTTCGTCATCCCCTCGCCGCGGATCTCGCTAACAAGCGACTTAGATCGGAGCAATCCGAGAGCGCGTCTCGAGCATCGTTATCCCGATATCGGTTCTACCGCTCCTTTTTCCTCTCGTCTTTTCTTCCTTTCTTACGCGCGCGCGAGGGCGGGCTGAGGGTCCTCGAAGCCAATCGCGGGAGAAACGAGCTTCGCATAAAACGCGGATACGGGGGGGGGGGGGGGGCAATTTAGAGAGATCGTATCGGCCGTAAGTTTTCACTCCGCGTCACGTCGAGTCGGTCGGTTTCGCGGGGAAACACGAGCGACCTTCGGCGACGCGATTTCCCGTCGCGTGGGAAACGCGCGGCCCCCTTTCGCGCGAAAGAGAGAGCGGCGTCGACGCTCATCCCGCAAAGACCACCCCCCTGCGCCCCCCGCCGTCGCGCGGGGGTGGTCTTTACATCGGCTCGGCTTATCGACGGCCCTCTTTAAGCGACGGCGTGCCTTCAGACCCGATCTCTCTCCGGCTGCGGCGTCGTGTTTAGAAACACAGTTCCACCTATGCCGCATTCATTATCGATGTCGCGTGCCTCCAGCTCGGGGGAGGGTAATCGCGGCGTGGGCGCCTCACACACGAGCATTACGTGGGTGACACACGACACGACACCCTCGCACGTGTGCGGGGGTGCAAGCGCGCGCGCGGCCTCTAAGTAACGAAACTAAACCCCCTCGTGTGCGCGCGTACGTATTGTCATTAAATACAACGCGGCCGGGTAAATCGATGATACTCGTCTCTCTCGCATGCGTAAACTATACCCCTCTGGGAAGAGCTCGCGAGGCGGAGCGTTTTCGCGTTTCGATCGCGCTTGTGAGGCGAATTTCCCCGATACCGCGAGATCATATGATTATAGGGCGTCCGCGGCGGAGGGCACGATTCAAATTGTCAGGGGGTGGGTAGGATTCAAGCTCCCGAAATTAAAATATAAATTTAGAAACTTTTCGGAATAGCGACTGGTCCCTTTCACCAAGGTCGTGTCTCGATTTTACTTTCGGTTTTTTTTTTGCTTCAACGCTCATTCTGGTCCAGAAATAAGCAGAGAAACTACGTGAAATTGAGATACAACCGTGCGAGAGAGAGAGAGGCAGTTGACACACGGAAAGAATTTTCTCTTAACATTTACCCTGAAAGTCATGTAATCGTGGGACAACGTGGCGTTTTGAACTGTATGAGAAGTTTTTTGAAATTTTACCATACATTCCGCTACTAAAATGTACACCAGGTATAATTACTTACTTGTAGAATGTATGGTAAAATTTCAAAAAGCTCTCATAAAATTTCTCGAAATGTCGCACGATTGCATGATTTTCAGGATAAATTTTAAGAGAAAATGATCTCCGTGTACGAATTTCTTCTCTTTATACCAAAGGAGGAGCAAATGTTTAAACACAAATTCGAAGGAACAAGGAGCTAAATAGCCGTGACAGGATGTTAGTGTCCAAATATCCCTATTTTAAATTTCAGACACTAAAGACAACGGCACACGATAATACTTTTCCTACTGGATTGTTTACGTGAACCAATAACGATGCAATTTTAGATCGGATGACTTAAGGCTAAATTGATCCCGATTGACTCTCGTAAGCAATTCAGTAGGAAAAATAGTATCGTGTGCCGTTGGCTTAACATCCCCGAAAGAAAAATATTACAAAAATTCTGGATGAAACTTGGAATGCTTGAGTTATGCGCACGTATGCAAAAATGGAGACCTTTCATCAAATATTGATTGCATATGGATTTTATCCGAGATACAATCTCACCGACGCCTTTCGGAAGATCGACGGGCTTGAAAGAAGAAAAAATGGGGCTCGGTCATGGTCATGAATCTCTTCCCCCAGCGTGAACCGGTGAGAAATGAAAAATTCCATTGACGAGTCCAATATTCGTCAATAAAAATTTTCACCTTTCACTTGTTCATGCGAGAGGAAAAGCTCATACGATCGAATGACTGGCCCGCGAGTGCGAGATTTTATCGCCGCTCCCGATCCGCGGCGGATACGCGATTAATAAGCACGCGCGTTGCGCGATGATAATGGGACGCGAAATAGCCGGTACATTTTCGTAATTAGAGCCGCCCTGCGAGTCCGAGCGGCATCGGGAGCTCGCGCCGCGTACACGAGGGGATAATTCGCCGCGTTACGTAATCGCGACGAGCAAGAGGGGGGGGGTGGAGCACGATTCATTAGCGATCAAAGACACCCGCGCGTACGTACGCGCGGTGTGGACAACCGGTTACGAGACCGAACGGCGAATGGGTCCGGGGGTGGAAGGTCGGACGTGACGGCGGCACGTGTAATCCCGCAAACGCGTACACGCGATGTACATTCACGCGGGAGGGAGGGGGGGGGGGGTAAATCGAGCGACAAGCGCACTCGCGCGCCGTAACGGTATCGGACTTTCTAATTGCCGTCGGCGAAATTAATACGCGCGCCCCCGCTTATGGGTACGGGGTGTCCCGCCCGCGCCGTGGAAAGGACGAGCTCTCCCCCATGGAAAACAATATATTTCAGTGTATATGGAGAAAAATAGCAATGCTATATTCGTTTATGTAACTCGTATATGCAAAATATAAAAAAATATACTATTAATACATAGAAATTGGCAGAAATATTGGGTGCGTCAATGAAATTTTTCACTGTTCATGCTAGAGGAAAAGATTCACGACCGAGCCCCCAGTAATTTTTTCTCCTTTCAATAAGCCCATCGATCTTCCGAGAGGCGTCGGAGGGATTGTATTTTACCACGCGAAACGATATTCCATCGCGATAAAACTCGTCCGTCTTTTTTTTTTCTCTCTTTTGGATCGACATCTCTAACAATAAGATCTCCCTGACATCTCGATCGCCGAGCTCTCGGCCCCTCGCGCTCTGTTGCCGACACACCCCGTGTGCACGGGGTGGCGGAATAACGAGAGCGATTCTCGCGATATGTGATCCGCGCAATCGAATGCGTAAATGCTTTACGCTGCAAATGTAATTTTCGAAATGAGATTAACGCGGTCTCGCATCAACCCCCCCCCCTCTCGTGCGAAAGAATGAGCCGTTAAATAAATCCCCCCTCGCGAGTCAGTTGCGCCGATTACGGACCCCGAAATTTATCGTGATAAATTGACGCGGAAATGATTGTGCCGCGCGCCGTAAATAACCGTAATCGCGTTTATTAAAGCAATCCGCGTTATACCTCCGGCTGGTGTGTCAATAACGCGTCGCTGCGTCCGTCAATAGGAAAAACTCGACAAAGTTGGGTCGCTATTGATATTAATTACGACACCGGCGGCGGGCGCGTTTGGTTCCGAATCGGGCGATCCTTTTGCACGGCGAGGGAAGCGCAGATCTCGCGATTAAAAAAAACTTCCGTTGAAATAAAAATCTCCTGTGTGAGAACCGATACGTTTTAATGAAACAGTAATCCCCACGCACAAAGAGAAATGCACGAAGGTTCGATAATGCCGCCCCCCCTCTCTCTCTCTCTCTCTCTTTGTGCATATAAAATTCTTTTTTTATATAAAAATATGCGGTCGAGACGAGATAAAATTGCAATTCCCTAATATCCTTCTCGGTAGAGACGCGCACGTGCGAGATCCGCGGAATCGATATGCTTATAGACAAGGCTCCCAAGAGCGCGTTAATTAAGGATGTTTTCACGGCACACGTATCCCTTTACGGGATCCTAATTGGACGGACGACGATACACAGGGATCGCCGCGTCGAGAGACACGACGTTGCCCCGACGCCGGAAGCCGTCGCCTTTGCGGCTTCCGCTTTTCTCGCGCGGAAATTGCGTTATCGCGCCTCCGCTGTGGACGTTTGCGTGCGCTGCTCGCGCAATAAAAGTAAAACTATCAAATCTACATTTGAATTGTAGAGCGTCGATAAAGGCGTTTATGCGCAAATGCAAGGCTTGATGCAATATGTGGAGGTTGGAAAAATATATAAAGTAACTTTTGATGTAACTATTAAATTAGTTGCTAGTTATCGAAAAGTGTAACTGAGTTAAGTTACAGTTAAAGATGGAGGGAAGTAACAAAGTTAAGTTAGAGTTACAAAAAAAGTGACTGTAACTGTAACTTCGTTACAAGTAACGAGTTACTTCCCAACCCTGGCGATTCGTGACTCGTGTATGTAGCTTTCTGGAAGGTTCGAAGCATCACCGTTAGAAACTTCGTCGTTAGCGGCCTTTGACAATAACATTTTTGAAAAAACAATCTAAGATGTAACGTACGAGGAGAAGCTCTGCTTTGGCGAGCAGCAGTCCCGTCCCGAGCAAGCGCCGGAAATTGACGGCTCTCACGCGCCCGGAGAATAAAAGACTTTATTGTTCGACTTATTGGACTTATTGTTGGACTTAGCTTACGCTTCCTGACTTCGGCTCCGACCATCCAACCCACCCTCAATCTCCCTCACTTCCAACCAACCGGTCCCCTTACATATATTCGTGAATAGTGTGGAGGAAACATGCGTCGATTCGCCATTCGCAGTGATTCGCTAGTCGAGTGGTTTCTCGACGAAACTAGTGGTTCTAATATTGGAACTTGCAGATAATTGCAGATGCAAGTGATAACAGGTAAAGGTTAAAAGTTTGCCCAAGTTAACACGAACGAAACGACAAATAACAAATTACGAATGACAAACTGAATCACGAATAGTGTGGCAAGTACCCACATAGCACACAATATTACGTAATATATCAGTAATATTACATATTGCAATGTAATATTACAGATATAATACATTTGTATAATACATTGCAATTACATTAATATTACTGGCATATTACATAGAAACATCACACAGTAATATAAGCTGCAATATATAATATCAGATCCAAAGTAGCGCAAGATAATGTCAAATGACTATTTAATTACGTCTCATTGCGTAATTAAATTAATATAAATTAAATTAATATGAATAACGTTTTATTATGTCATCAAGATACCATGAAGACACGTCATTTAATGTCACGTTACTATTGTGCACTTTCCAATGTATAACGCATTGAAGTATAAATAAAATATAAGGGTAACTTGTACTATGACGATAATCGTCTTCGAGAATGACTACAAAAACGCACTATTAAACATTTATTGGAAAGATTATACAGCCTGTGACCAACTTTTCCGTAGGGCCATCATACCCGGGTTCACCCTTACCTAGTTCCTTGCAATATTACAGTAATATTATAGTGATATAATACAGTAATATTACGTGTTATATCACAGTAACATTGTTGTGATTATCACAGTAATATTACTCCAATTATCTCGGTAATATTTCATTGGGCAGACATTTTAATATTACTGTGATATATTACTGATATTACAGTAACATTTCCGATATATTTTATTGTAATATTACGTTGGAAGTGTAATATTACTGTGATATTACGCGCTATGTGGGTAATAACGAGTGTTCCAGCGGATTTCTGCGAGTCACGAATCACGAACCGCGCATCACGAATTGCGCATAGTGTAGCGTTAGCTTTACGGAAATCTCGACGAACGAAGGGAAGGGAAATTCCAACCGACTCGATGCCCAACTTTTTACCCTCTTCGTCGCGTCGAGGGGCATAATTACAGAACTGGCGTTTCCTTGACATCTCGCGCGGAGAGGACCGCGCGTCCCAACGTCAAATTTTCCCTCTCAGATTCCTTGAAATTCCTTGAAGAGGACCACAACCCGTACGGTCGAAACGTCGGAATCAAACAAATAAACCATCTGCCATTTACTGTTAACTAACTACTGGCGATTCACTTTTTTTTTTCGTTTTCCTCTCTGGTTTAGAGGACAAACAAAAGGTAACATTTCGTCACGGCTTCCACTGTCCGAGCCTGATTCTATCGTTAAATAAATCGCTGATGACGTACGCAGAAGGAAAAATCGTGACTCCTGCGTCGCCTCGTCGCTCTTTCTACCGGGACAACTCGCGGAAAGATTCGCGAGGAACAGCTCTACTCGTCCCAATTAAACTTAAGGCACACACTCGCAGTACAAACATTTACTCGCGCGCCCCGCGGAACGCAGCCGCCCTGTTTTCGACGCGGAAAGCGCGAGGGGGTGCAACGGAGACCGGAGCGGAGATCCAAGGGCGGCATTCGCGGCTCCGTTTCTCGGTCAACGAGAGACGCTCTCTTTCCGTCCGCCAAGGGACCCTCTCGCGAGTAGGCGCGTTTCCGGAGTCGTCCCTTCTCGCACACCGGGTTGCGACGGGACGAGGGAGACCAAGCGAGGATCTCTCGCTGTCGCTCCGATAACGAACCGGTGACCCGATTACCCCGACGCGACGGGGAAATCCGCGCGCTCCGTCGTCCGGCTTACCCCTTTATCGCCGTGCATGGTCGTCGTGCCGCGCTATCTCTCTCTCTCTCTCCAACCGGAAGACCCGAGGGTGTACGCCGCCGCCGGTGTGGATGACGCCGGATATAGGCTGCGCGGCGCCGATAATGAAACGAGGGTGGCGACGGTGCGCCCGCTGCCGCCGCGAGCTCTCTTATCACTTGGTCACGTAACGCGTATCCCACGGAGAGAGCGGGACGAGGAGGAGGAGGAGGCGGAGGAAGAGGAGGAGAAGGTGGAGGAAGAGGAGGAGCGAGAGAGGGTGGGCCCGCGTCTCGCTCGTCCGCGGGACTCGTCCGAAGTCTTGTTCCTTGTTCGGGGGAGTCTCTCGTTCGCCACGCTGCCCACGATCGCGCTCGAATTATCGATTCGAAAAGCCGTCCCCCGTCTTCGTCTTCGTCGTCGTCACGGCGACGTCCCGTCGATCCCTCGTGTCTGCCCACGGTCGCGCGCGCGTCCCACCGGGATCAACCGCGGCACCCCCGGTGCCGCGCACTACGTATCTGCGCCCCGCGGCTGCGACTCGGCCGTCTCTCCCTCACTGTCGCCGTCGCGGCCTGCCTGGCCTCGTCGTCTCGGCGCACGGCCACCGTGCGTGCGTGTATCTCTCTCTCTCTCCCTCCTCCTCCCGCCCCTCTCGCCCGTTGTAGCGCGCGTCGAGCTCTCCCTCTACCCGTGACGCGCGGCGCCGCGTTCTCGCCTCTCCCTCCCTCGCCCACCCGCACCCCTTATCAGCATCGGCGCTCGCCCGGGGTGGCCGCTCGCCGACCCCGCCGGCGATTAAATGCCACCGCGTGATCGATCCCGGCGTCTTTTATCGATACTCTCGAGTCGCCCGACGTCACGATCCTCTCGACTGGGTCCCGTTGATCAGCTTGATTAGATTCCCAGTTACGCTCGCCCCCGCGGCGACGCGACGGTGCCACCCGGGCGCCGATTCATCGGCGGCCGCAGGAAGAATTCGGGGAATCGCGCCCGCCCCCTCCCCGCCAATTTTGTGACCCGCGGCGCCGCGCTGCCCTTGCGTGCGCTTTCGCACCCTCCGCCCACCCCGGCGATGCACCGGCGCTTCCGCGCGCGCCGTCGGCGAGTGACGTCGGGAGACGCTTGCGCGCCGCCGGCGGCGATACGTCATCGGTCCGTCCCTCCGCGCCCTCCAGGTCGTTCGTTGCACCCGCTCGCGCGGGGCGGGGCGGGGGGGGGGGTGCCCCGGAGCTGGGAACCAATGCCTGCTTATTTACTAAAGAATCTTTAGGTATCGACACGCGAAAGTCGCCAAGCTTTTCTTACAATTGAGACAATAAATAAATAACTAGGTCACGTTAAAGAACTAATGATAGAATTATATACCGGGTTAAGATTCTCGGTATCTTTCTTTAAATTGATGGTGTAATAGGTTTTAAATGGGGATGTAAAAACTCTAACTATGTTAGAGTCTATTTTAATGTACAACATTTCAGCTATTTCTCGCTTTCTTTGTATGCTTTTCGCTATGCGGGATGTCTGGGGAAAGACCAATTGAAATTGTTACACGTCGCGCGATCTCGCGCCTTCGAGCCGCCGACGGACACCGAGCGACAATCCCTCCCCGGAGATCGTTCAACCCCTTCGTAAAGAGCCGCGGCTAAAATTATCGGCGATTGCGATATAGCTCGGTATTATTGAACCATAGGCTATATCCGGTTCAGCATCGGCGCCAAATATAGCGGGGGGGATATCCGACATCGCGACGCGCGATGTATGCGCCGCGCGTTGAAGCCTCGCTTCAACTCGAGCGTGGAAATATCTTCGATAAGATTGATATGTAATTGTTACGTTTTAGAGTTTAGCTGCCTCGCGCGACAACGAGCCGTCGAAGTGGCTTCGCGTGTAAAATCCGACGGGTGGGTTTTCCGTTTCGCAACTCGAATGACTAACTTTTTCCCGCCATTGGACGTGAAACTAGAGTTGCACGAGAGGCAGCTGGACTCGAAATATCAATAATATTGAATCACAGAGCTGGGATGAAATCCATAATAGGGGATCCGTGTAGAATGTATACAAATATATCTTAATTTCTTACAGATAGAGGACAACTTTTATCGTTTTTTTTTATGAATAAGAAACATATAACTAGCTTGTTACATGGGGTTCTGGTGGAACTTTACGGAATAACCATCGCTGTTGGGATCCTTCTGCAACTCAAAGTTATTCGTAGAAAGGCCAAACGGTTTCAGAACCATGTTCCCTAGATCCTTCAGTTTACCTAACATCTCCGCCTTCAGTTTCTCGTTTCTCTCGTTAATTAGCGGAGGTAGCCTCTGCAAGACAAGCAATTGTGGTGTCAACACATTGTAGAAACATAATCCTGCACACGCGTGATCCCTTTTCAAGGAAATCTCGCCTGTAACGAAACTTTTGAACCTTTGTATCTTGACAATTCTACTATCTATAAATCGTCTATCCGTTACTAAATCTGGTTCAAGATCGCTGGTTTCAAAATCGAGGTAGAAAACGAATTTACTCGCCTAGTGTTTTTCAAAGAAATTAATCTCATCGTAAAACGAGGATAAATTAAACAAAAAAACGCTCTAGTTATTCTTCATCTTACGATTGTTACTCAAGCGTCCCGAAAGTTTAAACGCGTCCTCTCCGCTCTTTGTTACAGGCCAAGTTTCCTCGGAAAGAGCCACGCTCTGGATAATTGTACATTACCCTGACAGCGTAATTAGCTTCCGTGTGACTAGAATCGAATGTCAATACTTTCTTGAAGTCCTCCAACGCCTCGTCCAGCTTGTCCGTCTCCTCGTACAACTGCGCCCTCCTTATATACGCCTTCACGTAGCTGGAATTCAACTCGATGGCTTTGGTACAATCGGCTATCGCCGAATCCTTCTCTGGCTGGAAAGAGCAACCGCTTAGTGAAGCATAAATACAGAATCGACGACAAACCGACTGATGTCTGCACATTCTGGTCATAGACGTACAACATATAAGTTGCGTTGTTTCATGCATGATATATAATTTATCCTTCTTTAACATTTGATGAGTAAGAAGAATAAATGATGCATCATGCGTGAAACGGAACGCACCTATAGACTGCGTTTGGCTAGTAGGCAGTGTATAAACTTCAGAAAGAGACAACATACGTTGAGTGGTTGTCCGTTATCATTCCCCATACCTTTCCACTACTCCCACTATTTATTAGACAAAGAGGCGACCACTCAACTGTCTCGTTCTAAAGTTTGTACATGTCCTCAACACAAGAGAGGTAGGGAATGCACAGTCTAGTCTTACTACATCTACGATTCTGGTCCAGAATGAGTGTTTAAGCAGGAAGACAAGGAATTGCACGAAATCGAGATGCAACCTTGCGAAAGAGATCGATCGAAACGCTCGATCGACGATCAACGCTTCAACAATCACCTGACACTTTGCTCTCGCCGCCGCGCGGTTTGCATACAATATAGACCTCTCGTTGCTAAACGCCAAGGGACAAGTTTGCAATCCCTGCGTGTACCGCGATATCGCCTGCACGTACTCGCCGCTCTTGAAGAGGTCATTGCCCACCTGCTTCAGACTCTCCGCTTGGCATTTCAATGCCTGCAAAGGTAGGCGGGGATTACAACGTGCAAGACGCCCCAGGGTGCATCGCGTACGCACCTCCCGTTCGCTTTCCGTGAGTAACAAGTCTCGGTCCTTGAGCAGCTCCTCGTCCACGTCCTCCGCAGGTGGCGCGTCCGCGTCTTGCGCGTCGTCGTCGACCCCGTCGCGCTCCTCGACGTCCCACGGGCCATCCGTCGACGCGCGGCTCGCACCCCGGATGCAGGAGCTCTTCAGGTCCTTGGTGATCTCCTCTATGACCTCCTCGTTGGACTGCGGCCCCCGCGAACCCTCGTCACCCGCGCTGCTCGCCATCTCGTTCGGTGCGTCAGGCGAGCGGCATGAATCAGCATGAATCCCTGGTGGAAGTGAGTCGACGCGACGATGCGCGCGTCCGCACGCACATCAGCTGTGCGGCGAAAACAGCCTGAAATTGGATGAAAGGAAAATACACGGCATACACGCACCCACGCGCGCGCGCGCGTACCTTCGAGACTCCTTCGGCTTCCTCGCTCTGATGTTTCCTCCGAGTGGACTGTCGTCCCGCCTCCCGCCGCGAAGGACAGATGGCGCGCCCGCTGCCCGCTTGTGGGAATTTCGTAATTATTACTGCAGTCCCAACTCCCAACTTCCGCAGGCTGCACGAGCACGTACGGGTTGTTAAATAATACACAGCAGTAGTAGAATATATCGTACTTTACTCTTTTATGGCAATATACGTGTATCAGGACATTTTTACAGCGCCAAGAGACAAGCGGGCGTTGAACATAAACTCATGGTGGAAATAACAAGGTGAAGCATTGCGCATAATGGCGGCAGCTTTGACGGTTAAACCAATCAGAAGACGACCCATTTTGTAGGCGCCCACTTTATATTATTAAACATATTATTAAACACATGAAGTAATATGATATCTCAACATTAATTATATTTACTACTTATTGCATATGTAGCTTTGTTCACTTCTTTTTCATGCAATATTTAAAGAAAGGACGTAAACATCAAACGACGTGATGGATGACAGGCGCTGATGGAATCAGCCATATCACTTTCCTTGCAAAATGGGTCGCGCGATGATTGGCTTACAAAATTGAATGAGTGCGCAGCATCGGGAATGCTTCACCTTGTTATTTCCACCATGCATAAACTTATATCAGAGAGAAACCTGAGAGCGGCAAATTGCTTGTTACCGTTTTCGCTCGACTGATACCAGCGCTTTACGCCCATTTTCATTTTTGGAACTATATTCCGCTACACCCATGATTTTCAAGTACTGCCGATAAAGTCTCCACTTGGTGCGTGTCCGTGCTATACGCCCATTTTTCAAGCGGGTAAAGCCTATCACACAATGCGAGGCAACAGGCAATAGGAATAGGGAATAGAATTTTTGACGCGTTGGATTCGTCGGAAATTTTCCTTCAACCAATCCAACGCGTCAAAAATTCTATTCCCTATTCCTGTTGCCTGTTGCCTCGCATTGTGTGATAGGCTTAATACAGTGCCCAATTTTGGTTGTATTCCGTGCTGCATGCATGAAATATCGGTAACAGGAGAGTGTTATTCATTTTTCGTAACGGGAGCGAGCGAGAAGGTATAAAGGCCTGTATCCACGATGCTAGAACTTGGACCAAGTCCTAGCATCGTGGACACAGGCCTTTACAGCGAGCGAGACGGCAATAAGAGCGAACAAGTCCGTTTTTAAAAGTACTGACCGTCTCTTCGTAATTCACTCTTTGAATATAAAATTCAAGCACATAAATATGTATATCAATTCTGTAATTAAAAATAGATAGGCTACGAGAGATTAGTTGGCCGAATACATCGATAGTATTCGTCATATTTCGCGTAATTTCTACACGTAAAAAACTTACCTTTTTAAAAAAACGTAAAAAAAGCATCAAGTATAAGCTCCAATTCAACCGAATATATTTTGTTACTCTATCTTTTTTGCAAAAGTATAACATTCTCTACAAAAATATCTTCTCTACAAAACTATCTTCTCTACAAAAGAATGATATCAACAAATTGCGCCAAATATAACAACGGATACTTATACAAACTCTTATTGTAGTATTAGTTTTTGATTAAAAAAAGTTATATTTCTTAAAAAATCAAACTAAAGATTTTATTGGAAAAAATAATGGAGTTAATAAAACACCGATGAAAAGAATAGCAACTGTTTAGAAATTTAGAAACTCAGGCGAATTAAGGCCTGTGTCCATGACGCTAGTACTTGGTCCAAGTTCTAATTCCGCGAAATACGTAGCCAATCAATATAGCTGTCCCACAAAAGCTGCAAGTTGATTGGCGCTACGCATTTCTCAACTCAAAACTCAAAACACGCGGACAACTTTGTCCAAGTTGTAGCATCGTGGATACAGGCCTTAAGGAGTCTAGGATCCTAGGCACAGGCCCTAGGAAGTTTCACGTGGCGCGCGCGCGCGCGGCGGGGAGCTGCGCGCGCACATCCGTGATCCTAGTGCGCGCTAGTCGCGTCGCGTATTCTTCCTTCCGTTCGCGCTGGGGATTCCGCTCGCTTACCTGTGTGTATGTGACATTTTTTTCTACGGACCGTTCGCGCTGCTGCAACATGTTTACCTGGCTGTACCGCCCTCATCACGATACCCAGCAGTCCGTCGTTGATTCCATCATGATACTTACGTCGCCTCATCGGCAGCACTAATTCTCAGGTACGTGGACCGCGCTCAGCGCCGAGTTCCGCGGCGCCCCGCCAACGCGAACGGAACGGTAAACTGCGGCGCGCCCTGACGAGAATCTGTTTACGTAGTAATGGCGAACGTGCTCCTCGTCGCCGTCGCCGTCGCGACGCCTTGCCTCGCCTCGCCTCCCGTGCTCTTGCCCTTTTCTCGCCCGCAGCACACACGTCCAGCCTGGCTTTATTGGATTATGCGCGGGGGCAGGGCGGCGGGGAGCGGGGGAATCACCCTAGAATTACAAATTTTATTCCCTTTTATCACCAACACTGGGTATAATCGTCGCTAGATTATTCCGCTTATCCTTAATTTTGCCGTTTCAAGGAAAAAAAGAAGCTTGCGCTTTTCTTGGTAGAGTTTATTCAGCTTTATTATCAATATCTTGTGGCGGTTACGCAGTCGTCGCATAGGAGTACCTTGTTATCGAGACATTGCCAAGTGTACCCAAGGTTTCGATTCAACGTGAATTAGCAGTTTAATCTATGCAACAATCAAAGTGCTTTCAATTAGCTCGTTTCACTTTTGTTTAGCTTTACAGGAATAGAATTTTCATGTAGCGTTGTGTAAATTTTAGCTTTGTCAAGCAAAAACTGGGAGAGGAGGTGTCATGGATGATGAAGTGCGTCTCGAAGGTGAAGAGGAGATGGAGTTGGACGAAGCTTCCGATGGCGAGGACGAAGACGAAGAGACAGCGGGAATCCCTATATCTCCAGCTAATTCAGATCAATTACTTGGGCAGACAACTCCGACAACTCCTGGTAACAGTAACTATATTTTCACCATTTTCTATTATATCTTTCATTATTTTTGGAAAAATTACAAACGTATTGCAATTATTATTTATGAACATATAATCATCCAAGTTGATAAAATATTAAGTTATGTGTAAGAGAACTAGAGTGAAATGATTCAAAATTTACAAAGAAAATTTTGGTGTTTTACAAGAGGATACATATGTACGCAATGCTTAATAGTTAATTGATTCAATATTGTGCGCGTTTTAAAACTTCTTTTTTTTATATATATTTTTCACCTTTTTCTTTTTCCAGTTACACCAGAAGAGGCTTTCCATGACCCACTACGGTACCCGAAGTTTCCCTTACCTGGTGGTAAACCTTTGAACATTCGCCGTGGACCTGGCAGGCCTCGGAAAGAACGACCTTTTGGTATAACTCGTGGAGGAGGTGCCAGAAGAGCATTCGGGAGAGGTGGTGCCAGAGGGAAAGGGTTTGTTTAATTATTATAATTATCTTAATACACATATATACACGTACACACACATGTATACAGAGTGCATGCAAACTTATGTGCATACATACATACATATACATATATACATGTAGAGGTATGTAAATGTAATCGAATGGTTTTAACAAAGTATACATGAATTGTTTGATATAATTTCTCCATATCTTATTATTTACATGAATAGATTTGGATACACAAGAGGTGTGCCACGTCGCACTAAAAGTAAAGATGATGATACACATTCAGAATCCCCAAGTCCTTTGCGTACAACCGGGTTGGATGATACTACTCCTGATGGTAGCAGTGAATTAATGGGAAGCTCAGGTGATAGGTCAATGCCTGCGCCCGAGGAACCTCCTTACTTTCCTGAACAATGGTAAAATATTCCTCCTCATTTTTCATTATTCGTAGAAAATAAGTTTAAGCAATTAATATTTAAAATATTGCAAAATAATTTATGATTTCATTTCTGAAAAGAAATATTTTTTAATGAAATAAGAAGGTCAATACGGTCCGAGCAGGATGTAGGTGACCCAATAGTTGATAAATATTAAAAGGAAAGGCACATTTAGACATTTTGAACAATATTTAAAACTACAGTTGTAAACATTTTTAGGCCGGGCAAAGTATGCGCGTTATGCAATTTAGGCGAGAGGAGTCAGTTGGGACAAGGTGAACTATTGCGCCTTACATGTCCACCGGGTTTCACTCCCGAGAAGCCGACGAACCGAGATGAAACGGTTGCTGATCATCTCGTCAACGTCGTGGTCGCAGGAGATAAAAGTCCGCGTGCTACTGGACCTGGAATTGCCGTTACCTGTCGTAGGCAAAAGAGTCTAGCCAAATGCAGGTAAAAATTTGTTTATTAGGGTCTCTATTCCCAAATTCGTCGGGTGGAACAGCTTGTATGGAAATAATCTAACTAGATAATTTAAATAGAAGATTGTATTTGTACACATTACAATTATTTCTTTTGTAGGAATACTAGTCTAACTAATTTCACGGAACCGGTGGAAGAGTTGACAATCGTAGGTTATTTGGAAGAACCGGAAATCGGGATTCTGTTCGATTCCTCGGCCGGTCACTACTATGTTCATCAATCATGTATTATCTGGTCTAGCAACAGTCAAGATTTACTACCAGAATTGGCATGTCGCGCTGTTCTACAAGCTTCCTCCAGACGTTGCGCTTATTGTTCGCATTATGGAGCTGGAATTCCCTGCAAAGTAAGTTATAATTTAGCCATCGTAACAAGTCATCGATATAAGATATGAATTATAATAGTAAGCAAATATAAACAATTATTTATAAAATACATTTAAAAATAAATAATTTAACATAAAAATTGAATTAAAAAATTTTTCCATATGTTTCGCGCAGTTTAGTTATAATTGTTCAATTATAATCGATGTTCAACAGGTGGCATCGTGCAATCGTTATTTTCATTTTCCGTGTGCCGCGGCCAGCAGTTGCTTTCAAGACACTAAGAACTTGGCCCTTTTTTGCAGCCAGCATCTTGGCCAAGTTCCGCTTTTATGTAAGTTGCTTATTTTTAAACTTGCCATTTTATTTTAAAACTTTGCTATCCAATTTTTATTTAACATTTAAGAATAAGCTAGAAGAGAGAAAGGAGTAAAAACATAATAGAAAATTAAAATTTTATACATTTTTTACATATTTATTACATATCAAAAATTATTTTATCAATATATCGGTGCGAACTAAATTTGTGGGTTTAAAACGCTGTTATTATTGCAGACAAAATCACTAATAAACGTGGAATTATACAATATCAAATAAACATTGTAGTAACAAACGTATTTTTGAATAGTTTTTATTATGTGATCCACTTTTTACCTAATTTACAAATGGGATCACTTCAATTCTATTATAATGCATTGTATGCGTTAACATATGCCTAGTTAATGTATTGTATAGTCCTTGATAGTGCACATACAATGTATACATACATTGTTACTTCTGATATTCTTTACAAACTTAGATAATCTTGATCTAACGCATTTTTTTGGCCAAAATATTTTAAGATATAAAATTTTGCAAGAAGTGCAAAAAAAGCCTCACATTTACAGTGTGTGGAGAGGTGACTTGCATTCAATGTTATGGAATGGGCGACGTTTCGAATCTAGTAATGTGCTCTGTGTGCGGTCAACACTATCACGGAAGTTGCGTGGGCTTGGCGTTGCTCCCTGGGGTACGTGCCGGATGGCAGTGTGGGCCTTGCCGCGTATGTCAAGTCTGTAGGCAGCCCGAGGATGTTTCAAAGGTTACAGAAATTTTAAAGACAATTTTATAAAGAACTTTAATTTTGTTTTTTTTTATAATGAGCAACAGAGTTAAGTAATTATGATCAAGAAATATTAGAATATGTTTTCTGAGAAAATGCTTAAAAATGTATATTTTAATAATGTATGTATATACTCTCTTTTTTATTGGTTTTTGTAAAACAAGATTTTTGTAACAGGTGATGCTATGTGAGCGATGTGACAAGGCTTATCATCCAGGTTGTTTGCGACCGATTGTTACCTCTATTCCAAAATATGGCTGGAAGTGTAAGTGTTGTCGCGTGTGCACCGATTGTGGTTCACGTACTCCCGGAGCTGGCCTGTCCTCCAGATGGCATTCTCATTACACTGTCTGTGATTCGTGCTATCAGCAGCGCAACAAAGGCTTCTCTTGTCCCCTTTGCAGGAAGGCATATAGGTAACTGAAATTTTATGCATTTTTTACAAATGTTTTTACAAATATTACCACGTCGCGTGTTTATATTCTAATATACTTTGTTATATGTATATACTTTATGTTTAATTATATAATATTTAATTATTACATTGTTTACTCTTATATTTTACTCTTTGCAGAGCTGCGGCATATCGTGAAATGGTACAATGTCACACCTGCAAAAAATTTGTACACGGTACATGCGATCCCGAAGCTGACCCTCTTACTTATCAGCAACGAAAAGAGGCGAAACCGGATTATGAATATATCTGCCTACATTGTAAGAGCATTGCCATGGTGGCCAGACGAAAAGACAGCATCGATGATGGCGATTTAAGTCTGAGTGCTTCTCAAGAGAGCCTTGACGGTGAAGGTACCTCCTCTGAGGTAGACTATCCAAGTGGTTGTTCCGAAGAAGCACTTTATTCTGTCGGATTAGGGAAAGGGAAACCGTTTTGTGCCACCAAGATTGCGAAGAAAAGATTGGGAATTAGCGGTGGAGTTATTGGTAGGCCCAAAGGTATTGGGAAACTGGGCTATCAGAAGAGGCAGAAGATGACAGAGTTTGGAAGAAAGAGGGGGCCGAAAGGAAAAATGAGAGGGTTCTATGGAGTGCCCGAAGTGGGCTTACAGGTATGTGATAGTGCAAAAAGATTTGTGTAATGTATGTTTATATCGAATTCTGCATCAATTTTATCTTTAATCTTATCTCCCGTTTTGATATTAGTAAATTAATAAATATTTTAATTAATTAAATTAATTACTCCTTGACAAAATCGTTTTGCTAATATATATTTTTCTTTTAATTTTTCTTTTTTCTACTTTATTAAATAACACACACACACACACACACAACTTTGCATTTAGTATATTCAACTTCATTGTATTATATTCAATATTAGTATGCAAGAATTGTAATTTATAATTTATTATAATTTTAATATACCATTAATTATATCAATTATAACTCGAGAGTTGTTATTATCTTAATATTTTTACTAAAAAAAATTAATTTTATATCGGTTAAAATTATATGAACATTTGTTGGTTTTCTGATATTTTGGTAAATAACTTATTTCCTATAACTTATAAATATTCCTCTTCAATATTTGTAGAGTCCAAATCCAGATTCATCCCAATCAAAGGACGAAGAACAGCTTGGGGGTGAGAATAGATTAATCCTGTGCTCGGCAAAGGATAAATTTATTTTAACTCAGGATATTTGTGTGATGTGTGGCTCGATTGGTATGGATCAGGAAGGCTGTTTGATTGCATGCGTACAATGTGGCCAGTGTTATCATCCATATTGCGCTGGGGTTAAGATCACTAAGGTCATCTTACAAAAGGGCTGGCGATGTCTCGACTGTACTGTCTGTGAAGGTATTGAAAAATTAAATTACATGTATATTTTTATGTATGAAATGTTTGGTTAAACGTTATTGATGTACTTTACGAATTTTGAATTAAATTGATGAAAAATTATACAATATATTAGTGTGAATGAAAACTATTACATTAATGATTAAAAATTATTGAAATGAAAATTATATTTTATGACATAACAATATTTGCAATAAATAATATTATATATTATTGTTTGATTCTAAAATTAGTATAATACGAAGATGTTTGACAATGGCAAAAAAATTAATAAAATTATAAAATATCTTGCCAGATAATTTTGTTGATTTCTATTAGTTGTTGTAGCTCTATTTAATCTAGAAAATCTTAAATTGATTTGAAATAATTCCATTGGGCATTCTAGTGTTAATAAAATATTTTGTGTTTAAGGCTGTGGCGAGCGAAATGACGAAGCTCGCTTAATCCTTTGCGACGACTGCGATATCAGCTATCACATTTATTGTATGGACCCACCTTTGGATTTTGTGCCAGACGGTACCTGGAAATGCAAATGGTGTGCACAATGTCAGACTTGTGGCTCCAATGATCCTGGATGTAATTCATCTTGGCAGAAAAGTTATACCCAGTGTGGACCCTGTGCTTCTCATACCGCTTGCGTAGCTTGCCAAGAAGCTTATCAGGAGGGTGATCTCATCATTCAGTGTATACAGTGTGAAAGATGGCTTCACTGCGGTTGTGATTCGATTAAAAGCGAAGCTGAGGCCGAACGCTGTGCTGAGGAGGGTTACGTTTGTCTCCTCTGTCGTCCTAGAGATGTTCCCCCTCCTCATCTTCTTTCTAAACCTTCCTCGAAATTTGCTCGGTCATCTTCTCCACCTCAAAGTCGAAATACAGAATTGTTTAAATCTTCTTTGCAACCATATTTGGTGGAAGGAGTATATCTTTCCGAAGCTGGGATGAATCATATCAAGTCATTAACCGCTGAACATCAGCAAACAAGAAAAAAGAAAAGAAAACAGCCTCAGATGATGGACAAAGAAGCAGATATCATGGCGACTATTGAATCTGTCGTTGCTGGAGGAAGTTTAGACAATTCTTTGGAGGAAAATAAATTAGAAATGATGGATGTCAAAGATGAACCAGAAACAGTGTTGAAAGAGGGTATGGTATGGAATCAGCCTGCTCCCGAAGGCTTCAGTATTTGCACTTCAGAAACTGGACTTCCTGTTTTGCGAAGAAAACGCCAAAGAAATTTGCAAAAATTAGGAATTGGAGGGTTTCTTGTAAGAATGAGAACCAGGAAGGACAAAGAAGAAGAAGGAGATGCCGAAAAATCTGGAGAATCTTCAGTCGTAGGAGTGGGGGACGATAAACCCCGAAGAAAACCTCAGAGAAGAAAGCCAAAAACGAGACTGGCGGAATGTTATCCTATTTACATGCAAGAAGCGTTTTTTGGCAAGGATTTAATGGATACAACAAAGGAGAAAGATCTTGAGAGCAGCAGCGAATCCGAGGAAGAACCTAAAGTTCCTGAAAATGCTAATACAATTCAGTTATCTCAAGATGAACTGAAGGTAATGGAACAAGTCAAAGCAAAACAAGAGAAAGAAGATGAAAAGATTGCTCCTGAGCAAATCAAAAGAGAAGAAATTGTGGAGGATGACGGCAGTGATACTGAAGCACTCGGAGATATTTTACCAATTTCCGGAGATTTGTTAGATAGCGATTTAGTGAATACAATAATGAACGAAAACGATGAGGATTTGGCAAAGGCGAGCGAAGCTTTGGACGAGTTGGATGATGCACAAGGTGGAAGTAAAGATGAATTGACGGACATTCTCAGTCCTCATTTTAATTTGGAATCGATGGTCAGAGATACCGGTAGGCACTCTCAAATCAACATTAGATATATCATAGTAAATATTACAAATAATAGAATATACTATTTTATTAAAATTTTATTATTTCAGTAGCACATAAAATCTAGTCAACTAAATATAAAATTGAATATTATGTATATATTTTTTTTAAGGATTACCTAATATGGACAGTAAAGACATCGAAGATATATTTAAAGGCGTTCTGACTGATGAATCTCAGGAATCTCAGGAATCATCGGTGTTTTCTGTCCAAGCTCAGACTTCACATCCTTCATCGTCTACTACTCCTCTGGTGTCACCATCTCCCCATCCTGGTACATGTCAAATATGTTAAATGAAACAGTAATTAAAATCATATAAAGATCTAGTATTATGTTATACTAGAATGAAAATTACAAAATTACGATAATTAGAGAACAAGGATGGAAGAGAATTGAAATTAAGTTATTTATTATACAATTATAAGATGATGTTGATTCTAAGATATATTTTAAGATAATATTTGAGTATATAAATTGGAATATCTTAAAATATTACTTACTCTAATTCTGATATATTTTATATATTTTCTTATTTAAATCAATGACTTTATAGGTATTCAAACAGCAATGCCTTTGGCGAGACCTCAAGTACCTGGTGCTCTACCCTCGGTTGGTCAATCAAACTTAAATTCTCCAATGAGTTTCCCACCGCCTTCACCATATCACTCCGAATATAGCAAGTAAGAATAAACATAAAAAATAATATCAAAATTATATTGTAAAAACTGTAATATTTGTACATTTTGATATCTATTTTAATTGTTCTAAATATTAACTGTTTTTCAATTTTTTAGTAGTCCACAGTTTAGTCCAGCATTTTCGGAACCACCTAGTCCATGGGTGAATCCTGAAGACGAGGGAAATGCTCCAGCAGGAAATACTACTATTTCATACAACCAAAGAAGTAATATGAAGATGGAAGCTGACGAACCATTAGGTGCTAAAGCAACAATATCCTCGGTTCTTTATGCTAATCTCAATCATCCTGAATGGAAAACTGAATTTCCAGGTAAGAATATGTTTTTTCAATTAGTTTGAATTTTTTTTCTTATTCATTCTGCCAAAAGTTGCAATAAAATTTTAAGATCATAATTTATAATACTCTTATTTTAATGAATATTTTTACTTCATGCAGTATGGGCCGAGAGACACAAGCAAATTCTAAAGAAGTGGCGAGCACTCTCGAACGATAAGAAAACTCCGTATTTGACTAAAGCTCGAGATAATCGAGCCGCAGTTCGCATGAAGAAGACACAGCAGGTAATTGATATATACATCTATACATACATATTGCAGAAACGAGAAAAATACGGACTTTAATTATCGCATTTGTTTTTATACGTTAATTCTTTAGTCAAAATTTATGGTTGAGAGAAGCGCGATAATTCTTTGGGATAACCCATATTTTTAGACATTCTTTCATTGGGGTTTTTGTCCTCGAGCGTGTCTTGTGCTAACACTCAAGTGAGACTAACAGCTCGATAGTTCTGTGTGTCGTAAACTATTGTTCCTATTGTAAACTTCAGGTTTTCATGGTTTCACCAGCATTACTGGTTAATTAAAACGAAATAATATTTATCTTACGAAGATTGGATTATATCCGAATTCTTGTTTTGTTTTTTTTGCTGTAGATTCAGAAAGATAAAATAATAGTGTTGAAAGTAAATAAAATTTTAAATAGGTAATTAAAATGATTAACAGTGGATTTTGTTCCATATTTATCTATTAATTTTATTTAAAACGTAAATTTTATTATAGGTGAATGATTGAAATAGAATATTTGCTTAATGTAGGATGAGGAAATCTATTGTTTACATTAGAAATATAATTGTATTTCTCAAAAAATAATCTAAAATCAAAAGATAAATATAAGGAAGAAAGATTTCGACAAAATTCTTTATTGAAGTTTTTATATTGCAAGATATTTCAAGTCAAATCAAGTTTTATCCGTATATAATTTCGGCAGTAGAAAATATTGTGTCATTAACAATATAAATAAGTCCCACTCACGCTCGAAGATAGGTAAAATTGAATGTGAACGGGTCTCTATATAGTGGGCCCAAATGAGGTGAAAAGGGACTTAAAAATTTTATCTTCCATGTAAAAATTGAGTATAGAAATATTTATAAAGATATTTGCAAGTACATATATACTAAGTTCTAGGAGAAGGATATTATTATACAGTATTTCAAATTTTAATGTTCAGAATATGTCAGTATAATAGAAATAAGAAACAAATTGTTATATGAATATATATGTTTATAACAACTTTATTCAAAAGTTGTAAAAACAGTTTTTACAAAACAAAACTGGCACAATTTTATCATTAAAATTTGAGACACAAATATTTATATATCTGGAATCTCTATATAAATCTATAGATCTGCATGTTGTTTAGATGTGGATCTACAAAATCAATTTATGAATTTGTAATCTATAAATCTATTAATTTGTAAGTGTGTAGATGAATGAACCCCGTTACCTATTCTTTTGTCACTGTTTTATAAATTAGATTTAGATATGTATAATATTTAAAACCACAATTGGTACAACATAGTAGATATATCCAATAAGAATCCTTGCAAATTTACAAGTTTGTAGATCCATATTTGTAGATTCACGGAATCCAGAAAATCCATATATACCTTGCTTTTATGTGTTTCGTAAATACAAAGCAGACAGTCTTATATGTTAATAATCGAAATTACCTGTTGAGTGCGACTTATTCTTATCTCGTCTCGTTCGGGCCCATTATATCATTTTTTACATGCAGGGTGTTTCTCATAAAGCTATTATTTTGATGTTATTATAGTGTGCATATATAAATATATAGAAAATTTCAGATATATTTAAAAAAATGGAACAAAATTATTAATGTTTTAAGATGTAAGAAGAAGAAACGTAATACTATAAGGCATGTGTATAAAAGAGTCCTGTTATGTAACAGTCATTTAATTCATACATACAAAGAAATATTTTCCTTTAGTTTTTTTTTGTTCAGATGTTACTTAGAAGATGCAAGAACTAAAAATTTTAAGAAATTTACATTCTTTTTATAAATATAAAAATTTATCAATATAATTGATTTTGTAAAGAATATATAGAGAAATTTATTTGCGTGATAATTTGACAATGGAGCAGTGTTGTAAAAAATACTTCTATATAAGATTGCTTTATGCGAGACATCCTCATGCGTATATCGTGTGACTGCGAACCACCCGGTGTTGATCCGACAGCTCTCCAAGGAGACACCACCACCAAGCACCACCAACACTATCATCACTACCAATATAACCACCACCAATACCACCACCATCAATATCAACACCACTACTACTACTACTACCACCGCCATGACTACCATCATCACCAAACCCGCCGCTATGACGGCTCAGCAGCAGCAGCAGCAACAGCAGCAGCAGCAACAACAGCAGCAACAGCAGCAGCAGCAGCAGGGAGTAGGCCTGAGGCCCATTGAGAAGCAATCAGGAATGTTGATGACCACTGGAATGACATCAACCGGCAACAATCAACATCAGGAGGTGTGTGGGGTGCAGGGTACCCCGCCCAGCCCCTCCCTGTCCCCTGAGGCTCCTAGAAACCTACAGTCATCTGCCTTGCAATCTTGCACAACACCGGCTTCTTCGTCCTCTTTGTCTTCTTCTACGTCTTCCTCTTCTTTTTCTCATTGCAACAATTCGGGTGAAGGGCAGCAACCCCTCCAGCAACGTCCACCCCCGATTGTCGTTAACAGCGGCGGTGGGAGCAGTAGCATAGATCAACATCAGATCCGAGTGCTCACTCCGTCCGAGATCATGCGCACCCTTCCGTCCCTCAGCCAGGAGCACTACGACCCCCCACCTCCGCCACCACCACCCACTGCAATTGTTCACACTGTGCCTCCCGTACAGAACCATCACCACCACCACCACCATCACCACCACCACCACCCGAATAACATCATGGTGAGAGCCTCCGTAGTGTTTTCTTACCTTTCTCTTTGCATCTGATCGAGACTTAGTGTTCCCCCTGTACACATACATGTATTTTATTCAAAATATTGTAAACGAAGATTTTACTCCTTAAATGAGTGTTTCATGCTTCAAATAGGGCTGTGATTGATATTTAAATTACATTGTACTCTTATTTAGCATCATTATCAATATTTGCCCTATAAAGAGTTTAATTTACACATACGTATTAATTTTTTTAATTAATGTTTTATAAGTATGCATTTTATAATTTTTATTTCCTTATCTGTTTGAACTTATTTTAAATTAAATTTATTTAAAAATATTTTTTTGAATACAGAATGCTAAACATTCTTGTCAAATCGTCGTTGTAATAGAGAGTATTTTGGTAGTGTATACTTACACATATTTCTTTATAATTCAAAAATATTTCAATAGCATGTTCAAGGATAGTAGCTTTAATCAGTCCTGTTACTTTCATTCCTATCAATCCTAATTCACGAATCATTATTCATTTCTTATCCTTTGAATCCATTGATATTGCTTATGATTTTTTTATTATTGTTGTGGGTGATTGATAAATTAGTATACTATGGTATATTGCTACTATAGTATCATGGTTATGCAGTAGCTTAGTACTAATTTTATCACTATACATTCTTTCAGAGTTCCCCTCCCAGTAAAACAAGTAGTATAAATATAATTTTATAAAATTAAGAATTCCCTGTTCTTATATCTGTTTTAAAGCCGATATGAGAGATTCAGCAAACAAATAGGCATAGCAAATACATTATAACCTGAAGAAATAAAAACAGAAATAGGAATAATATGGAAATTCATTAAATAGGAATTTTTTTCCATCTCTTGTATAGAAGGAACAAGATCTTGTAACTTATGTTTTTTTTTTTAGAACTATTATACAGATGATATATTTTTGTAGTATATTTATCATGTTTAGATATATCCCAAGAGGATATCCTAGATTTACCACATTTTGTAATGGCCAATTTATGAGGTTACTTAAAGATGAAAATTTTTTAATTTTATTAAAATATCAAACATTACAAAAATGTTTTAATAGAAAACATTATTTAAAGGTAATTAATCTGTTATGCATATTGACAATATAAATATTATAGAATAATGCTGTTAGAGTGCAAAGTGCTGCAGGTTGTCAAAACTGAGATTTGCCATTGGCGCATGATATTTTTTATATCATTCTAACCAATATCAATTTCAGTACATTATATTTAAGTATATTTTTGCTATTATGCAATGTATCGCATTCAAATATGCAAGCTTTGGACAGTGCCACTTTAAATACACACACATACAAATACAAAATTATTATTAAATAAGAACTATTAAACTATTACAGCTCCGACATTACAGATTAAAATTTTTATTTTTAAATGATCTTATCTAGTGTCAGCACACACAAATAATGTGTTACATTTGGTATATTCTATATACATAACACAAGTTTGATTATAATTGTATTTTGTTGTATAAAATTACTGGAATCCAACATTTTAGTATGCATGAATGTGGAATCGTCGCATTATATAATCTTTGATGAGATTGTGGTGTTTGTGATGTTTTGTGTTTTGGATCGTGAATAAGTTTCCTCCAACAGAACTAATTAATACACGCGCGTGTACATGTATAGATGTGTTTACTAATATTATAAATTAATCTCTTTAAATTAATATACTATATATGGTGGCTGGTTATAATAATTTCCAGTGTGTTTGCACATATATGAGATTTACAGAATCTTGCCAATTATTAATTTCGTTGTGTAATATTGTTGTTACTTAAAAAAAATGTTTATGCAAGATAGGCCAAAAGTTTGAAATTATATTTATTTTTCATAGCACAAAAATAATGCAGGATTAAGAAAGTTAATATTTATTTCTTAGTTTTCCTTAAATATTTTTTTCAGATTTTTGGCCAGCATTATAAATATGAATACTTTTTATTGGCTGATTGTAATTAGTGCTTCATACTTCACTGTGCTTTATAAAAAAAGGTCATTACATTTTGAGAATTAATTTCCTGATAGCAACTCATATACATATGTATATAAGCATCATTGTGAAAATATTTTTATAACTTTTGGATGTATATTTATTAAATTTGTGTTAAATTTTTATGAATAAGGTTAATATTAAATAAAATAACTATACATTTAATAATATAGAAATATTAAAATATAGTAAAATAAACAAAAATTTCATAAAAATAACAAAATTAATTTTAAGACTCCTGGATGTTCACTGTTGGGTTATGATATCAAAGGTAAGAAATAACATACTGAAAAGTTTTACATGTCATTTTCGAATAAAAAGATATTTGGATAAAACAACATCGCTTTACCTATAAATATCTTGATCATATGATGCTGCACATATGCAAGCCTTATCATGATTATTAACTGTTGAGGGAAAAGAATAATTTTCGGAATATTTTATAAGTATGCTAAAGCGATCTGAAGTGTTGTTTCATCTAATATTTCTTTTTATTAAAAAATGCAAGAATCCTCAGCATATTATTTCTTGCTTCTGACGTTACGATCCTAGTGAACACCCAGGAATCTTAATAGTAGAGCTGATTTTTATTTTAATGTTTTACTAATACCTGGTAAATATAACTAATAAATTTAGTTTAAAGAAGAATCACATTAAATGTAATGACCTTTTTTTTTAAGGAAAACCTTGAAAATTATATATTATTGGTCTTCAACAGGAACAGGAAAGACTAGCAAACAAAGATCGATCTACCAAAGAAGCTGAACAGGAAAGACAATGGAAACAAATGCAAGCCTTCCGTCAACAACAAGCACAAATGCAGCAGCAGGTCCTCCATGAACAACGCGTACATGGTATATTTACTATATTAAATTCTACAATAACAATTCGAAGCATTATTCTGTCATTTTATAATATTTAGCTTCTATTTGATAAAAACTCTAAATTTTAATAAAGATTTTAGGAAAGAACTTGGAAAATTAACGATAAAAAAAGATTTTAATAGTTTTATTATATTATAATTAAAAACGTTAAATTTTAGTTTATAAGTTGTTTTTACGCAAATAACACATAAATATTAAAAGTTTTGTTGGGAGTAGAAAGTACAGTGAAAACTTAAACTCAAACTTTTATTAACATAAGAGAAGACTTATATTAACATAATATGAATTGTAATTATAATATATTTCTTTTCTATCTAAAAGGAATTGCCAGAGTACATAGACAAATCAGTGAAGACACTACACCTCAACTAAGTAGTGATACTACACCTGCATTAACAGCACAATTACAAGTTTCCACGGCGCAAGTAAGTCTATTTAATCTTTTTAAACTTAGATTGTATGTATCTTAATTAATAAAATATTTTAATCAAATTATTTTAAATTACTTTTTTTTATCAAGAATATAATATCATTTGTCGTGTATTTTACATTATTATGCGAATTATGTGAAATTTAAACGGTCAATGTATTCACAAATTGCTTAAAAATCGGAAAATATAACAAATTAATAAAATTCGAAAAATGTAAAATATTAACCTTGAAATTTTGATGCAGGATACAAGTCAACTGACTTCTCTAGCCTCTCCTTCCCGAAATACTTTTGCTACGCCCTCACTCAAAGCCCCTCGCAGTCTAACACCTCAGTCACCTCATCATCCAACCATGGTACGTTTGCCTGCGCAAGCTCCTTGTCGGACAATACGTCCTGGCTTTTCTCAACCACCATCTCCCTTCTCGCCACAGGCACCCCAGTCACCCCATGATTTTCCACAGTCTCCTGCCTCTTCTCAACCTTCTCAGGAGTCACATTTCCAGCGCTTCGAGGGCAACGTCTCAACTCCTGCATCCCCTTATTCGTCACCTCAGACACCAGGTACACCCCGTACCCCTGTGTTTAATCCTCCGCGACCCCCTGTTTACGCTCCTCCTCCTCCTCCTCCCCCTCCTCCTCCTCCTCCTCCTCCTGCAACATCACGAACTCCTGATCCTTACAGCCAGCCACCAGTCACTCCTACACCTGTCCCTGCTGCATCTGGCTATCCATCGCCCAGAGGATCTGAGACTCCTCGAACACCTCAGGAACAAGAGGTTGCCTTCGCACAGCAACCAGAAGTCAATAGGCAGTTGAGAGATTTGCTGCAAAGGCAACAATTTAATAAGAAGATTGAAGGAGTCAGTACCAACTGGGTTCAAGGTATGCTTTATTCTATAATTTTATATCAGTAACTGCCAAAGTTTCTGACCAAGTTGTCTTTTATACATACGTTCCTTTTAAAAATATATATTTTGAATAAACTTGCAACTTTATCAATATTACTGCAACAATAGACGTTTGCAAAAATTGTTAATGTGAATTAATTAATATGATAATAGTACTATAATAATTAATTTCATTACTATTAATTATTAATACTTATTAATAATTATAATAAACATCACTAGTAAATATAAGAAACTATATTACTAAATTTTCTAAAATTTAATTTAACAAAAATTTAATTAACATTATATTTTTTACCATTTCAATTACATTGATAATTCAGATGGACAAACCAACACGGAGAATAACCAGCAACAGTTTGACGCAGCTTCAGCTCATGTTCAGCTTCAGCAACATCCTCAAGTACAAAACAACTCGAGCGAAGGTACTTTTAGACATCCACTTCCGCCAGGCACTGTTAGACCCAGAATGCCCATTCAACCAAACGTCTTAATAAGAAATTCCATTGGTATGCAATATTTTTTGTACAATATTTATTAATTTTCTATATAGTAACTATCTATATAGTATTTAAATATTCTAACATTAAATATTTTCACAAAATTAATTTATTATATTGTTACGCTCCCTTGACGGAAGGATGTTGGCAATCTCGCGGGTCTCACGCGCGCACTCTCTCACACTTACGCGCGGACGCGTAAATAAGAGACACCGTTTTCCGAATTCTCAACGTATGGATTTATTCGAAGAGTAACACAGCTCGTCTTAAAATCCACCAAGCTCAACACGAAATCTCCTCAAACTTATTTACAAACAAAACGAACTCTGTATCGTGGTAACCCGCCACGATACCGGGCGTCGCTTTCCAATCGCGGGCGTAACAATATTATTAACTTTTATCTTTTATGTAAAAATTTTTTTCTAAGTGAAATATCCGTGTGTGATGTATGAATTCAGGAATACCCGCACGACATCCTGTAGCAGGAAATATTCAGAATCCAATTGACCATCGTACCAGGGCGCTACTGCAGAATAGGCCCCAAGTAGCTACCAATATACCTGCTCAACAGCATTTCCAGGCAACTCCAAACCTCCAAACACGATTGCCAGCAGTAAGAAACGCCATTTCCGAATCTTACGACATTTTGCAGCAACAGAGATTTACAGGTAAATTAAATTTTCCAAAATGTTTTTTAGCTTTTTATAATTGTAATCTCAGTTATCTTGGCCTTACGTTTAATAGAAAAGGAGACTATAAGGATCACTTAAAGGTTCTAGAGGCGAAAGGGAGAAGGGCAGCAAATAGAGTATGGGGGTTAGGTGAAAGGATATGTAAGGACGATTTCGAAAGAAGAGGGATGTTATTTAACTATTTGGTGAGGAGTGTTATGTCGTACGGTGTAGAACTTTGGGGATGGGCGGAGAGGAAAACTCTAGAGAAAATAATGTTGGACTATGTAAGATGGGTATTTAAGCTTGATTTTTGTACGCCAAGGTATCTAATAACGAGAGAACTAGAATTGGATAAATTAAAAATTAAATGGGGGATAAATGCGAGGAGATATGAGGAAAAAATAAAAGAGATGGGGGACAATAGATGGGTAAAAGTTTGTTGGAAAGAAAAACAAGAGGAAGGATGGACTGATTTGTATGGTAGGGAGAGGGAGGCTTATTATAATAGAAATGGATGGGGTATTATTGCAGTAGATAGCATGCCGAAGGAGGAAAGGAATATGATAAAAGATTTAAAAAATAGAGAAGAAGACACAAAGGCAATGGGAAGAAGGTAGGATTAGGGAAGCGAAATATAATAAGAGATACAGAGATTTAAGCAATGCGGAGAGGAGACCGAGATACTTAGAGTTTAGAAATATAGATTGATGGGAAATGGTAAGGAAATTAGAGCGCTGATAAGATTAAGATGCGGAAATATGGAGGAAGATAACAAATACTGGTTGGAAGAAGAAAATGAACGAAGAATACGTATATTTTGTAAGGAGGGTAAAGATAATATAGAGCACTATATAAAGGATTGTAAAACGACGAAAGACTGGTTTTTAGAGTTAGGTAATAGTATGGAAAAGAAGTTGGAAAGATTATATAACGATGTAATAGATGAAGATAAAGGAAAGATGTTGTGTAAATTATGGAAGGAAAAAGAAAGGCAAAAAAAGATGAGCTAGTCATTGTAGAAATAAGAAATTAGAAGTAAGAAATGAGAAGGGAAGAGATTAGGGGTAGAGATTAGAGAGAGTATGAATGAGAGTATAGATGAATGAGTGGTTAAGGAACTATTGTAAACCAAGTCCCACTTTCTGGCTGTATGCTAAAGATAAAGCAATATATATATATATATTGTAATCTGAAATATGAGACAGTTTTGATGTTCCACAAACATGAAAATCTATAAATAAAGTGTTTTTAATTTAAAAAATACTTTTTTTAGATGTGAATCAGGCGCAGAACCAGCGCGTCGCGCGAACGGCGCAGGATTTAAATCAAGGTATTCGCATGTTGAGTACAGCTCCAGGGATGGTCCGAGCACCACTCGCCCCCACGACAATGGGTGAGACTGCGGGAGTGGCTACTTCAGAAGCGTCCGAGATCCCCGACAATGTGACAGCCGAATTGGAAAAGCTGGAACAGGAAGGAGCTCCGATGGTTGAAGTCGAGGGCGTCAGTGCAATATTAGGAGATTTAGCAGATGATGATGACGAATTGCTCGGTAAGTGCATGTGTGTGTGTGTGCGTGTGCGTGTGTGTGTGTGTGGTTGGTATTGTATTCTCTTTCTCTTAAATCGTTTATGTTTTTTGCCGAACTTGCGTGGAAATCTTTTTTAATTTTTTATTTTTTTAGTTGTATTTTTTTGCACTGAGAATGATCCGAGGTGAATCGAACCGTTTGTATTTTACATTCTATTATTAAATTGTCCACGACTATTTTAAAGACTACGCCTTATTATCTGTGTACGGCTTGCATTAGCCTTCTCTACCTTCCACTAGTTTTACATTTTGACAGCCTAAATTTACCGGATATATTAGAATTAAATTTTGTGTGTGTGGAGAGTAAATTTCTTATATAAATTAACATAAAATTAAACATTCAAAATAAAAAAATTTATTATTGAAGCTGAAATGGGAGCGGACTTCAACATTCTGGAATATGCCGACCCTGAACTGACCACGATCGCAGGTGGAAAGAAGACCAATATTCTTGATTTGGATCTCGAACAAGTTGAAGTTGATTCCAAAGACGATAAGCAAAAAAAGGAAACCCGGGATGAAGATCAGAAGCCGGAATTGACTCCATCTTCTGAAATTGCTGATTCCTGCTCGACAAGCACGAGTTTGACCCTGACAGAAAACTCCAACGTGCCGACAATGACATCGCCACAGGTGACGTCGCAGGCGATGCAGGCGCAAGTAGTGCAGCAGCAGATGCAACAGGCAGTAACGATGGGCCGACCGATGCTACCAGGGACAAGATTGCTTTCACCGGATGGGGCAGTCGGAGTGGTAACTTCCACAAACACGGTAACTGTGAGTTATCCACCTAGTTTTCCTGGACATCCGCAGAGAATTTCGCAGGGACATATACAAGGTAAATTGAAAAACTCATAATACAACAACAATGAGTTAAAATATTAGATTTTTTTGGTAAAAAAATTATATTTTCCGAAAATCTCTAATTATAAATATTTTTACCTCCGATTTCATATTTATTATGTGAAATAATAAATATTTTGTATAGCTATATTTATATTGCATTACGTTTTAGCGCGTTTAATCTTGACATTTAATACCTATAATATGTATTTTTATCATAGTCTCGCCACAACGGCTGGGCATGCGAGTCGCGGCGGGGGTGCCAACTATGCCGGGCAGAGTAGTTGCTGTTAATCACATGATTGGACCCCGGATGTCATTGGCTCCACCGCCGCCACCGCCGCCGCCACCGCCACCGCTGCCGCCACCGCCACCCCCTTATCCGGGACCACCACCGCCGTATCCAGGACCGATACAAGTAAGTAACGATAATTATATTTATCACAGTCTTTCTCTTTAAATTTTTATGCATTGCTTTAATAATTAATTTTTTCATGTAACTATTACAGAATCAAATTAGTAAATTCAATTAAAAAGACTAAAAAGATTAAATGAAATATATGGCATAATGTTCTTGTTAAAAAAGTTTTTGGTAACTGCCCGTATAATAGATAATTCAGTCCATAAGGTTTAATGCCAGACCCTGTGTTTGTGTGCGTGTGTGTGTGTATGTGTGTATGTGCGTGTGCGTGTGTATATAGAAAAAAATTAAGATTTATTAAATTTATTAAAAATAAACAAAATATTAATGATCCTAATAATAGATTATCATGTTGACAATTCACTAAAAAAATTATTGATAATAAATAGTTAATTACATCATACAGTTTGTTAGCATTTTATTATAATACATGAAACATTTCATGATTGCATGTATAATATATATATATATATCATATATACAATGTATGTCAGTCAGTTTCGCAATAGTTTTTGCTGAATTTATTTAAAAAAAAATTTTGCGCGGCTGTGTAGTACCATAGAAGTAATTTTGTATAATTTGTTAAGCTGCAATTTTAAGATAATAAATATTTTTAGAAATATATGTTAAGAAATATTTTTTGTAATTTCATTTACAAAGCATATTTATTTGAGAGTTACTTTTAAATATGAAAGTATGTTTTATAATTATTAAAATAACTTTTAATAATTGCAGTAATAAATCATGAAGAATGTATTTAGTAAAATAGAAGAAAATTTTGAATACATTACTAAATTATTATATGTATATACAATAGTATATACATACATATATGTGTGTGTTAATTATATTTTTTGTTTATATTGAAATGATAACAAATTTATAATAAAATAATGTTTTATTTAGAATAATTTGGTCAGAAAGCGAAACTAAGACTAAAAAGATTTGCTGTGATGTAAGCGTAGCTAAATAATAGATTTAACACTTTCAGTGCCAAAAACATTTTCTATGTCGAGATATTACAAATAATTACTAATATATGTATATTATTAATAATTGAATTGAATTTTATGAATAACATTTTTTGTTTTTGAATTTTAATATTTTAATTTTTCTTTATAATTATATAAAGAGAAATACTGACGAACACATTCTAAAATACCTAGAACTTGATTAAAAATTTTTTAAATAATTGTGTTTGAGATAAACATTCTTAAAATCTTGATAAAAATATTTTTCTTATTTCTTAATTTATTTAATACCGATGAAAATTATTTTCTTTATATTTTAGTTATGTTATAAATCAAAATAAATATGGAAAATGTTTAAACGGCAATGGAAAGGTGTGGTAAGAAAACTGGCTGGTGTTTTTGGCCTGGGTGTGCAAGTTTGCAATATGCATTTGGTGTTGGTGCATGTGTCTAGATGGGACTATGTCCGGGTGGTGGTGGTGGGCGAGGTATGACACGGCCCTCAGTTCATATGACGGGGCATCAGGTACCGGTGGCGGGTCCGCCGATGGGACCCGTGGTGCCACACTCTCACCGGAGACCTTTGCTTCTGCAGGTGAGCGAGATTCGGGAAATTTAAGCTTAATAGAAGAACAAATAAATTTAAATATAATAAATCCTTATTTTGTATGCAACTTTCGGAGAATGTTTTTTTAGTATTTTAGAGAATAATTAAAAAATGAAAATATTATATCATCATAGGATATAGTATGTTTTAAATAGAATTATAAATTAATATAGAAAAAACATTTATTTGCCTGTAATTATTTATTGTAAAATATAACATATACTTATTAGTAAAGGTAAATATTTAAAGATCAAATTGATCATAAAAATTGAGAAAAACTCAGTTCTTATGTCGACTGAAATTTCATTACCTATTATAAAAGCAAAAAATATTAACATCTACATTTGTTTGCATTTTTTTCTATGTGCACTTTTAAATGTTTGCATCTACATATATTGCACGAAATTAACTTCATTAACATTGACAAAATCTGATTTTTTTTTAAATTGAATTTTGCTTAATTCTTTCTTAAAGCAATGTGATTTAGAATATTGCTTTTTTGTGATCAACGCATCAATGTTGAAATTGGTTTGTATGTATATTTGTGTATATTATCAATTTAGACCATAAATTTTTCTTTTTGTCCTTTATACAGTATAGCACAGATAAAGAGGAAGATTATTATTAGAGATATTATATAAATCCAAATTAATTTTCTATTGTCCATATATTTTATCTACGTTTATTTATTTTTCCATCCCCACCCCCACCCCCATACACACACACACCCACACATATACGCACCCACGCGCGCGCACATATATACACATACACACTCATATACGCGCGCACACACACCACTGTACATATTTATATATGTGTAGTTATACTTCTAGTTGACTTTACAATTCAGTCCTAATGCAATCGCAATTTTAACCTTTAGACCTTCAAAGTAGCACTCCTTGTATCAAAAATCGACCTTGACTGTCAGCAGTCGTGTTCACAGGAGCAGCCGTTATTGCTGGAGGAGCTGTTAGAGCAGGAGAAACGGGAACAAGAAAAGCAGCAGCAACAGCAACAACAGACCGAAAATGTCACTGGAGGGAGTCTTTTGAGCGACAGCGATTTTGAAAAACTCAAAGCAGATGTTTTGGGCACCACATCGCCTCCCCAGGGTATGGTACCCGTGATAAGACAACCTTGTACAGCGAGATCACCTTCAGCACCTAGTGCTAACTGGCAACAAAGTGCTGTAGCTGTTGATGGGGCGGCAAAACTAGCAGCGGCGCAAGTTGGGTCGAGACAGCCGATTGCTACACAGACCCCGCCCGAACGTTAGTGTCTTCTATTATTTGAGTTGAATAATTATTTAAGAGTCGTATAATTTGTTAAAGTAAATTAATTTATTAGGATAAAAAGTAAGTTAAATAACAAAATAAGTTTTATTTGGTGTTTATTAATTTTGATAATAAAAAATTTATTAGAATTTTATTAGGCTTGCTCTCGATAATAAATTTTGTTTCAATAAGATATAGATTTTTCAAACAAATTATAATAGTTTCGGTTTATTTTATACGTATATTTTTACTACTTTAGCAAGAGTGGCTATGTTCAACATTCCTCAAACACCAGCGCCACCGATTCCACCAGAAAATATAGTTAATGAGCAAGATCGGCAAATGCAATTGCATTACGAGCAATGGCTGAATAATCAACATCAAATATTAGCGCAGCAACAAAAATATTATGAGGTAGAAGTCCAAAAACTTCGTAAAGTAAGAAAGGTAAAGAAAAATAAGTTAATATATTAACTAAAATAAATAATTATAAATATCTTTACGTTATATAATAATAGGTATAATTTTTATAGTCTTAATTTTAATTCCTAAATGTTAATTTGTCCGACATTTTCATATTCTTCATGTTTTTATCTTATTTCTTTCCAGTCTCTCAATAGTAAACAACGTGGACTTCGTAAAGCTGGTAACGAACTGACAGAGAGCGACGCCGCTGAACTGCAACGAGTTACTAGCGAACAGACTATTCTGCAGAAACATTTAGATACCTCGCGTAAGCAACAGCGTCAACACAGCTTAGTGATCCAGGAGTATCACAATAAGCAGCAACAACGACAGACTCAGGCCCAATTAAATGAACCGTGTTCTCCGTTGATGTCACCTTCTCAACATTCTCCGATGCATTCTCCAGCGGCATTGGTCTCACAAAGTCCTGGCCCTAGTATGATTCAACATTCACCAGCAACTCCAATTGTTCAACATAGTCCAGGTACGCCGCTGCTCCAACATAGTCCAGGCAACCCTCAGTCGACTAACCCAGGTACAATGTCACCTCATAATGTTCAACAACAATCGCCAAGAATTGGCACTCCTCATTCTCAAGGTGACGAAAGTCCCTTTAGTCCGGGGCCAATGCCTTCTCCGGGTCTGTGCAATCCCAACACTACACGAATGACTTCACCACAACATAGAGCCATTATTGGCGGAAGATTAGCAACTTCTCCTGGTGCCTTTACACCAGAAACACGAAATCAGCAACAATTAATTGCTGACCAGGGCGTAAGAGTTCATAGTTTACCTCAACGATTTGTCAGGCCACCGGAAGGGGCACAGAGGAGAGGAGTCGTTTATAATCCGCAGTCAGGACAACAATTGCTCAACCAACAACAACATCAGCAGTTGTTACAGAGACAGCAGATTATTCAGCAACAGCACGAAGGTGTTGTTCAGGATCAAGGACAAGGTACTGTTGTTCGTGGGACATTGCAGAGGCAGCAAGTTTTCCAGCCACAGCAACACGAAGGTGTTCCGCGACAACAAATTCTTCAACAGCAACAGCAGAATGATATTTCTCAGGATGGTCAGAATGTTATTACTCAAAGAAATTTGCAAATGGTTCAACAAAGACAGATTCTTCAGCAACAGCAACAGACTGATATCATTTCCCAAGAAGGACAGAATATTGTTACTCAAAGAAATTTACAAACAACTCGGCAACAAATTATTCAGCAGCAACAAGAAGGCATTTCTCAGGATGGACAAAATGTTGTTACTCAAAGAGCTTTGCAAATGACTCAACAACGGCAGCAAATACTTCAGCAGCAGCAACAAATTCTTCAACAGCAGCAGCAGCCTGAAAATGTTTCTCAGGAAGGACAGAGTTCCATTAATCAAAGATCGTTGCAAGTAGTTTCACAGCAGCAACGACAACAAATTCTTCAGCAGCAACAGAATGATATTATTTCTCAAGAAAATCATAATGTTGTTGTTGCTGCTCAAAGAAGCTTACAAATGGTACAACAACGACAGCAAATTCTTCAACAACAGCAACAAATTCTTCAACAACAACATGAAGTTATTTCTCAGAGTATTTCTCAAGAAGGGCAAACCTCTATCGGTCCTAGAACACTGCAAATGATTCAGCAAAGGCAGATACTTCAGCAACAACAGGAAGGTAATTCTCAGGATGGGCAAAATATTACTGTTCAAAGACATCTGCAAATAACGCAACAACGACAGCAGCATGAAAGTGTTTCACAAAATATTTCTCAAGAAATTGGACAAAATGTTGTTCAAAGAACATTACAAATGGCACATCGTCAACAAATTCTTCAACAACACCAGCAACATGAAAGCATTTCTCAGGACGGACCGAATACGGTTGCTCAAAGAAACTTACAAATAGCTCAACAGCGTCAACAGCAAATTCTTCAGCAGCACCAACATGAAGATGTGTCTCAAGATGGACAAACTGCTATTACTCAAAGATCATTGCAATTGGCTCAGCAACGACCACAGATGTTACAGCAACATGAAGGTGTTTCTCCATCTATCTCTCAAGAGGGACAAAATACTATTGCTCAAAGATCTTTGCAATTGGCTCAACGACAAATTCTTCACCAACAACAGCAACATGATGTTTCTCAAGAAGGACAGCCTTCTATTGCTCAAAGATCACTTCAAATGGCTCAGCAACGCCAACAAGTTCTTCATCAACAACACGAAGGTGTTTCTCAGGGTATTTCTCAGGAAGGACAGAATTCTATTGGCTCAAGATCACTTCAAATAGCTCAGCAACGACAGCATATGCTCCAGCATCAGCAGCGGCAATTCTTGCAAATGCAACAGCAACAGCAGCAACAGAAACCACCCAACTCACCGATGGTGTCTCAACCATCAAACTCCCCCAGTCCACAGCTTCATCAGCAACTTCAACAAGGTTATGGTCAACCTCCAAGTTCACCCATGGTGCAACAGACAACAATGGGATCTCCGATGCTTCAACAACAATTAAATCCGACTTCACAACCTCCTAGTCCAATGAACAGGATTTCACCGATGCTTCATAGCAGTCATCATCATTCTTCGACGACTAATCAGCCACCCAGTTCTCCTATGATGCCTAGAAGTCCTATGGTAGCCGGATCTCCTATGCAGATGCAGCGAAGACAATCTACTGGAAATAGTCCAGCAATGCCAGATAGACCGCAGAGTGTGGAAAATCCTGGAACTCCAAGAACACCGCATACACCTCATAATTTCGTCCAACAAAATGCGAATTTAACCTCAAGTGATCAACAACAAATTTCTCAACAAATTCCTCAGCAAGTTTCTCAAGAACAAACTTCTTTATCAGATAATCTTTCTAGAGGCGGAGGAAATTCTAATAATTCCTTAAATCCAATTCCTCTTCTTGATTTTGAAAAGTTTGGATATTTTAAATTAGGATTAAGAGGCGGCTCACCAGGTAATCAGGAGCAGGTTTGTCAAGTTTCTCGAGAACAAATTTTTTCAAACAATTCTATTAAAAATAAGGAAAGTCTTAAACCCGCAAAGCCACTGCGATTCACTAATTTTGGACGGTTTGGATGGTTCAAGTTGGGCTTGAGGGGTGGTTCGCCAATGTGGTCGAGTAAGGCAGAGAGCAGCAAGGGTGGTAAAGGATCGGAAACATCACAGAAAAAAGACCAATCGATGGAAGAAAAAGCAAATACTTCCACGAGTCGAAAAACTGCCAGAATTAATTCGCTGGTCTGCGTTGACTACAATGACTTTGACGATGATTCGCATACACCGCCACAGGCGTCACCAACAACTTTGGAAATAAAATCAGCTGGTCAGAGCTCTTCTTTAACTTCTTCAACTTTAGATAATGGTTCTTTAACTTTGGAAAGTCCTGGAGAAAAACTGGAACAGCTTCCAGATACAACAGATTATGACGATGATAAAACCATAGTTAATACCGAGGTGACTTTGAGTTCCACAGCTCAACGAGATAGTGATGATATCACTGTGATTGATCAGTTTGGCGACTCGGAACTGGTTGATGTTATTTCAGGAACTCTTGAGGGAGATATGCAGGAAGAATATGTTCTCTTTGAACCTGGAATGGTAGTAGATCTCTCTGCTGACAGCAACGATTCTCTTTGTCACGCTTTAGTGAATGATGCTGGACAAGGTCATGATTTAGTACAGATTTTAGAAATTGATAATTCTGAATCACAATCAGAGGAACAGATTTTGAGTGACGAAGATCTAGTCCCGTCTCATTCAAGAAATAAAAAGGGTCTTAGACTCGACATAGTGAGAACCTTGCAGTCTGGAAAGAAACTAGTCGCTGTTACTGATACTCCAGAATCTCCAGATCAAGAAGAACTTCGAGTTGATCCTTCTCCAGGTCCTTATTTAGATCAGTCTCCTGATCAAGAACTCGTGGTATCTTTAGTAAGTCAATCTGAAGTGGTTATTATTGATCCCACGACGAAATCTCCCGAGGACAATCTTTCTAAAGATTCTTGTGACGAAGAGATTGAAAAAACTGATAATAACATACAAACTAATGTTTCCAAGGAAAATACATCTAATGAAGGTTCGACAGGTGATCAAACTAGATGTTTAAACCAAAACAAAAGTCCTACAAGCTTTATTTTTTCGGATAAATCTTATAGCAAGATATCAGTTTCTACCGTACATCCAACAAATATTAATATAACAGTTTCAAAATCGGCGGTTCCCTTAACAAATACTGTCATTTCTTCAAGTTTGACTCCTAGTTTAGTTTCTATTAGTTCCAATTCTCAATTGAATCAGGCCTCAATTCAGCCAATAGTGACAGAAACTAAAATGGCGGATCATTTTAGCTTGAAGGAAGTTTCTTCCAGTTCTTTTAGTAATCAAAAAGGTGTCACATTGTCGACGATGGCAAGCATTGTGGCAGATGCAAAGATTGCCGCGAAACTTAGTCAAACAGCTCTGGAGAATATCTCCAGTCCACAGCAAGACAAATTGAAAATTATCTCCGCCAATGAAATGTCAAAAATGTTCTCAGATAAGTCTTTAACAACTTTTCCAAGTACGCTAAATACAACAGAATCTCTGAACAATCCTACGAAATTAATACTAAGTGTACAACCAACTTCTGTGACGCTCTCGACTCCGAAAATGTCGATTCCGGACCTTACAAAAAAGGATATCACTTTTAAGAGCAAAGAGAAATTAACAGAAAATCAAGAAAGTGAAGTGAAGAAAAAGAAGGAGGAAAAAGCGATCCAGGACAAAATCAAGGATGAAAATGACTCTTCGGATACATCAATAGAAGAGAAGAAAACGGATCCATTAAGTACTACAGATGAACTGGAAAGCATGTTAGAAGCCATTCATAATCCTGCAGAAAATGTTGGAAATAAGAATGATATTCCAACGACGACTTTGAAACGAATGTCACCCGTTACCGATGATCTATCGCTTGTGAACATTCTGGAAAACGACACTGAACCGGTGGAAAATGATAATGATAAAGGACAGACTTCTTCAGATTCTGAAATGCAAAAAGCAACGAATAAATCTGAAGAAATTCAGAAGAACATTCAGGAGACTAATAATGACAAGAACGCACTTTTAAATGAAAAGAACTATCCGGAAGAACTTTGTACCGAAATGGAGAATTCTAAACCATTTCTTCAGCATTGTTTGAGCGAAGAAAAGACTTTAATGGAGGAATCTTCTGATGATATTTTAGATATGTTACACAATATTATTTCGTCAAAACCAGAAATGGCAAACAGTAGCGAGCTAAAGTCGAGTCTTATATATCAAATGCCAACTCCGTTGGATACTTTGCCTTTAAATATCCTACAAGACTCGTTAATGGATTTAGAGCAAGAAAATCTCGAAAATGATCAAGTTTCTTCAACTGAAGCTAAAACTGAAATAAAAAGTAAAAATTCTGAAGTAAAAAAGAGTTCTCCACTAACAAGTCAAGCTTCCACTTTAGTAGTCAGTACCGTGGCGCAATTACAAAAAAGCACGACAACTGTTCCTCATTTATCGCCACTTTCAAAACCAACAGAATTGACTTCCAATGTGGACAACGTGTCTAATCAACTAAGAACATTACTATCGTCTTTACAAAGCAATCAGACAACCGTAAATCAAACTGGAGTAGTCACCACGGTTTCTTCAGTGAAATCAGGAAGCGCTTTGTCTACTTCTAGCTCTTTGTCGACATTGAATTCATTAAATAATGTTCAGAGTGGAGTTTCGACAAGATTAGATCAAAGTCGTTCTCAGTCATCAAAAAATTCAGAATTGGTAAAAGAGAAAAAGGAATTAAAGGAATGCAGCGGAGTCATTACTACGGTTCCGAAGGTTAGTAATAGCGAGCAGATCTTCAGAGTGTCTTCTTCAGCAACAAATTTTCAGACTACAACAGTTCCTAATCTTTCGAGTACTTCTTCGACTGTAGTTACCACCAGAACCATTACAACCTCCATTTCTATCACTTCAAACGCCATGTTGAATGCCATGCTGGCAAATTCCTTGAAACCTTCAATCGCTGGTCATAGTCGAAGCAACACTGTACCAACTCAGTCTGCTAATATTTTGAGTTCTGTTTTACCATCGACTTCAATACAACGCCCGCAAAATCTTCAAGCAATTCTTCAAGTCAGTACAGGATGTTCCACAACTCCTCGAGTACTAGTAAATACTAGCTCCGCCGTAACCAGCTCAATGCAATGTATTAGGACTATTATGCCACCCTTGGCAACTTCAAGCACAATCTCAAGTTCTCCTAGTATTCTTCAGTCAACTTTATCGCAACCTCCGAGTCCCCTTTTGACCTCTAATCAGAATCAGTACAAATCAAGTATTCTACCAATGGACAATAAAACTAATGATCTTGAAAATCAATCTACGACAGTAAAAAAGGATCCCGAAGAACCCAAAATACCAGAGAAGAAAGAAATAGATTCTAGCAAAAGTTCTTCTAATTCTTTAAAATTCGAGGAATCCCAAAATGTGTTGCTAAAGCAATTATTACAAAATACAGCATGCGCCACAACTTCATCGCAAGGAACCAGTTTGCCGATAGTTCCTTCGTTGGAAGCGCAACTGGCTCGGCCAGTCTTGCCTACGCCACCAGCGTTGCTTCCTCAGTTGCTGAACGAAACCCCAACACCGAGGCCAGTAATAAATAAACAGGTTCTTGCGAGGGAAACTTCATTTTTGTCACATACAGTGACACCTTCAAAGGTTCAAAGTTCACCTACTAAAGAAGAATCCGCTAAACCTTCTCTTTCGTTATCTAATGCAGTCGCGACACAAAGAGTACAAACTGAAAACTTAAAACAACAAACAACAAAGTCAATTCCTATTTCTTCAGCAAGTTCTTCGGGAAATTCTGTATCAAGTCAACAACCAGTTTCTTCAACAATAGCAACGACGAAAACATCTACAAACATTTCTACGAGTCAACAAGAGACTTCTGGAAGTCCGAACAAACTGGGAACTGGCATCAGCGAAGGGCCTCAGACTCAACAACGCGTTGCTGTTTCCATTTCGAAAATTGGTTTGCAAAATAAGCCGTTGGTAACCTCTGGAATAGCCTCAAAGAGTACCCAACTAACGACCAGTAGCTCTAGTAATGTTTCTGGACCACAAACTCAAGTTCAACAATCTCAAAATCAAACTGCAGTTGTGCAGAAGCCAACTGGTGGTGTTGCGCCAACAGTGCTACAACAAGTTTCTTCTTCTTCGACTACTTCCGTTCAGCAACAATCTGTTCAGCAACAAGTGCCTCATAACCACGGGGCCGTCGCGGTTCCATCACAGACCGTTATTGGGTCCGCCGCCCCATCGGGTTCCAATACAGTGCCTTTAGTCGAGGTGAAGAAGGAAATGGGTCTTGAGGATGTTTTGTCTGCTGCTAGCACAACGTCAACCAGTCAGTTGCAGGCGGATACCAAAGACTTTATTACTACCAAAGAGGAGCTCTTAGACAGCGCAATGGATGATAAAACTGGTAAGTAACATATATACAGATACATATGTTACGGTTTTTTCAATATATTACTTCTATTTCTTATATAAAATTAAATTATAAGGTTTTTAAATGTTAACATTTTATTAAATTAAATTCATAGCAATTAAATTGTAATAATTGCATCTGGATTACTTTAGATCTTAAGAAGCTGAAGAGGAGACAGTATCAACAGAAGAGAAAGCAGAGTCAGGGAAAAGATGCCGCAACTGCACCTCAGAAAAAACGTTCTCGTAAAGTCTCGCGCCTCGATGAAGATTATGACACATTTGTGGACAATTTGATGACTCAGTTAAGACAACTTCAGCCAATGGCGGTTCTGGAGCCTCATTTAAGTCGTAATTACGGAGTATGTCCGATCTTTGGTTGCGGGGAGCTGGTTAAGATTGGAAGTCAAAAGGATTATAACTCTAGAATAGGTGATTTAATTGGAAATTATGGATCAGCCAGTTTACCAGGAATTTCTGATCACTATAACACACAGCCATTTGGAGAACTAGACCCCCTGCCACCCCAACAACCCCCGACAACTCAGAGAGGATTTTATGATCAAGAATTTCCGCCTTTGAAATTGGATGATAGTAAGCAATTATACATTACATATTTTCTAATAGTAAACAATGTAATTATAAAATTATAAGCAAATTAAATATTAATTTTTTTATTATAAAAAGTTTATAAGTTAAGAAAAGAAATAACAATAGAAATAAGAGTACAAATAAGAGAAGGCAAAGAAAAACAAATTTACATAAAAGAAAAAGACTATTATAATACACATAAATAGAATGAAGAAATAATATAAATATATACATTTTACATTATAAGATAAATGATAAAGCACTTATAATCCTTGTACAAAAATATAAGAAACGTTTTTTTTTATAGCTGACGATAAGAAAGAGAATATGACGACAAATCGCGATGTGGATTCTCCTGATACAATTGTGAGTTCATCCTCGCCAGAATGTGTTATACCAGAGTTTCTGCACCGTTTTCCCGGACTGCGATTGATCGAGGAAGAATCCGATGAGGAGGCAGAATGGTTGAAACGTGTATCACCTGTTATACCTCTGATTTCGCCGATTCCAATCAGACTGAAACCTACTTACTTAAAAGATACAGCTAAACAAGACAAAGAGAATCTTGGAATGCCTAAGTACGTATATTTATTCTTATTTACTCTTTATTTATTATTATTCAACATTATATATGTATTTTATTGTTATTTATTATTATATGGGATATTTTTTTACAATACTATATAATTTCTTCAGACTTGGCAAGTCTCCTCCGATTCCTTTACGAGAAAGCGGAAATGTCACTGTGACTTTAACTTTGAATAGTCAGGCTGCTGATGATATAATGGGTGTACTTAAAGATCTTGCTAGTATTTTGAACATAACACCGCCTGCTGGTTATCAAATAGTTGAACGCACTACTACGCCTCCCAGTCAGAAATTGGGCTTGTATAGGACGAAAGGGAAGGACGGCAAAGAGGGTAGTACGTAATTCATAGACTTATTATCTTTTGATGAAAGATATTTATGATATTATATGAATAAAATGTTGACACAAATTTGTTATATTAAAAAAGAAAAAATTCTAAATTATGAAGAAAAAGTTATAAAAAATAAATTTGAATATCATAAATAAAATAAGCTGAGATAAAAGTTTAAAATTTTCTAATTAAGAGTATGTATAATCAAAACATGATTTTTTAAAAATGTTGATTTATCTTTCAGCTCCAATCGATATACAAAGTATTCTGAACGGTGCGGCGAAGTTCTGTCGTCATTGCGATGTTGTAATCCTGAACAGTTTGATCCGAAAGAAAGTATCAGATCTGCCATTCTTAAGTAAAGAAGAAGCTGAACCGGGTGATGAACTTTGCTTCTGTTCGGCGGCTTGCTATGTGCAATTTGCTCTGATGCATCGAACACCATCTAATACTCAGGATAAGGTTTATAAGCAATGCCTTTTTATATTGTATAAATTATAGAAATATTCTATACGTTATAGAAAAAAAATTAAAAATTTTATCTTATAATCAGTCATCTCCACTATATAAATTATAAACAGAAAAAGTAAGAGAATTATAAGTTAAATATAATAAATATATTAATATTAATAGCGCACTTTATTATGATATTTAGAAAAGTATTTTATATAAAATAGAATATATGTGTATAAAATATATATATATATATATCAAATTTATTATTTTGTAGGCTGCGATGATAGTAGACCATCTATGCAGTAAAACAGAAGCAAAAATCTTAGAGGATGATTTGAAGAATCTGAAAAAATTTCCCATCAAACAACAACAGATTGAACGGCTTGAGAATATAGAAATCGTTAATGAACCAACGACAGAAATCAAAGTGAAAACTGAAAAGTTGGATAATGTTGAAAGGGCAGAAAACGAAGAAAAACGGTCAAAGAAACATTCGATTTGCGAAGAATTTGGTGATTCTATTGAGGTCCAACCACCTGTAAAGATTTGGAAAGGTTCAAGATATAAAATATGGTCGATGGGAGCCTTGCAACCTGCAACCAAATTTAAGAAACCCACTGATAGAGAAATTACCGAGGTATGATTAATTACATTGATTAATTACACAATAATTATTTAGATAACTGGTAAAACTTTATTGCTTATCAAGAGACATAGTCTTATATTAGATTTTATGTGAATTTATGGGAAGAATTAATTTTTCTAGTATTTAATAAACTGTAAATTTTAATGTAAAATTGTGAGTGGAAGATATAAATTGAATTTTCTTCTAGACGCTGTTTCGTATGGCAATCGCAGTAGCTCCTGCAAAAGCCGAAGACACCCGTCGTTGTGTCTTTTGCAAGAGTCAGGGCGATGTAACAGCTGATGGGCCAGCGCGACTACTCAACTTTGATGTGGATAAATGGGTACATCTCAACTGTGCACTATGGTCTAATGTTGTGTACGAAGCACAGAGTGGTGCACTTATGAGACTGGACGAAGTCCTGCAGAACAATCTGATGCAAATTTGCATTATTTGCGAAAAATCCGCTGGTACAGTCAAGTGCTACAAACCAAGGTGCACCAATTGGTACCACCTGGTATGTGCTATCAAAGACGGTTGCGGTTTTTATAAAGACAAGGTAATCAAATTCGTAGATCTTTTAATTTTCCATACAAGTTTTTCTAAAAAATGTTTTTAAATTCTTCCTAGTCCTTTTATTCTACTTTCTTATGCAATTTTAAATATAATCAAATTTTTCTTCCAGACTATGGCTTGTCCTCAACATCTTGTAAAAGATAAAGATAAGGAACTCACTACACTTTCCGTTTACCGCCGCGTCTACGTCCAACGCGACGAAAATCGTCAGGTTGCTGCAGTAATGCACCACTCCGATAATAAACATCTGCTTCGTGTGGGTTCTCTCATCTTTCTCAGCGTCGGCCAGCTACTTCCTCATCAGTTGCAAAACTTCCACACACCCAACTACATTTATCCAGTGGGCTACAAAATTGTGCGTTTCTACTGGAGTATGCGCAGATCTAATAAACGTTGCCGCTATGTCTGTTCGATCCACGATGTTTCTGGTCGTCCCGAATTTCGTGTCTTAGTCCAAGAACCTAATCAGGAGGATGTCGAACTGAGAGACGCTACTCCGCGAGCAGTTTGGAGTCGAATCTTAGAGCCACTAGCAGAATTGAGGAGAAATACAAACTCTGTTCAACTATTCCCGAGATACGTTTCAGGAGAAGATCTGTTTGGTTTGACAGAGCCAGCAGTAGTGCGGGTATTGGAAAGCTTACCTGGAATAGAGACTCTAACCGATTACAGGTAGAAGAACCTAATGTTATTTTGCAATTAATTTAGATAAAATAAATGGTATTGATAATTTTCCTATGGTAACTTTTCCGCTTTTGTTACTAGTTTTGAAAAACATGAAATTTTTTAAATAATACCAATAATAGTAAAATATATAAAATTCCTCGCTTTCAGATTTAAATATGGTCGTAACCCGTTGTTGGAGTTGCCTCTGGCCATTAATCCAACCGGGTGTGCACGGACGGAGGCACGTTTGCGCAATCAGCTACCGTGGAAACGACCGCACACCCAACGTACAGGAGGCTTTGCTTCACGTGGAGTACCATTTGGCTTGTCAACCTGTGGTGCTGCCACAACGATGGGCGGGGTCTCTTCTACATTAGTTGCAGCAGCTGCTGCTGCTGGCGAGGCTGCCTCCTGTCCATACTCAAAACAATTTGTCCACTCAAAAAGCTCGCAGTACAAGAAAATGAAACAGGAATGGCGTAATAATGTTTATTTGGCGAGATCAAAGATTCAGGGTCTGGGATTATACGCGGCCAGAGATCTGGAGAAGCATACGATGGTGATCGAATACATTGGAGAAATTATTCGGTCAGAATTGGCGGAAACAAGGGAGAAACAATATGAGGCTAGAGTGAGTATGAAAGCGTCTTCAATTTTATTCTATTGGTTAATTAATCTTTTCTATTCTGTTTTCTATATGTAATATTATATATTGCAGAATCGTGGTATATATATGTTCCGATTGGATGAGGAGCGAGTGATAGATGCGACTTTATGTGGCGGACTCGCTCGCTACATCAACCATTCCTGTAATCCCAATTGTGTCGCTGAGAACGTTGAAGTTGAACGCGATTTCAGGATTATCATTTTTGCTAAGCGCCGAATTTCACGTGGTGAAGAGGTACGTTTTTGTTTATGAAAAATGAAAACTAAATATATCTTTTTTAATATGATATTTTGAGTTTTAAAAAAATTAAAAAAATTTTTTTTTAATTATGCTTTTCATAAATCCTTTCTATATTTATCATATATTTTAAATTATTATATTAATTTTTTTTATATTGTTACACACATTATCTTCTCTTGCAGCTGGCATATGACTACAAATTTGATATCGAGGATGATCAGCACAAGATCGCATGTGCTTGCGGCGCACCCAACTGTCGTAAGTGGATGAACTAAAAAGATTTAGGACGACAACAACAAAAAGAAGAAACAGAAAATGACAAAGAGGGAAGAAGAAAACTCAGCCTCTCCACCCTGCCCATTGTTATCATTGTTACTATGTTATATAAGGTAGGAAGTTGTATAGAAATAATTTCCTATGAAATGATGAATGATATATAGTGAAACAAATTCTATATATAAATATATAAATACAAAATAAAGTTTATATTATATATCCATATATATTACAGATATATAGATATATATTATATAGATATATGTATCTATATAAATACATTATATATATACATATATGTATGTATGTATGTATGTATATATAGGACAAGCACTATAATTTAATTTGTAAAGTGCCATTGCGCAATATTAGACAATTAACCCCGGATTGACTTCTCTATTATTTAATATATTGCTAAAATTAGTTTGATAGCTATAGATTATTCAACAATGTAATGAATTATATGTTTGAATTATACATTATATATTTTCTTCTCCGATTTTTTAAGAGACAATTGTACGTTCTTATAATTGTATTACGTAATTAAGAATTATAATTTTTAGATTTAAGTTCAAACAAAGAAGAAATTGAGATGAAGAACCAATTATATAATATATGTAATTATATTATCTAGAAAGAAAGACTTTAAAAACTTCAAATGGCAAAGAGAGAAATATATATTATATTATAAAACATGTACATTTTTGTTTTTATAAATTCAACAATATTGCGATATTTTTATTTTTTGGCTTTTCTACTTTATAATAAAAGTAAAAAATTAATTTATTTAGTTTTTCCATAATAAGAGAGAGAGAGAGAGAGAGAAAAGTGAAAGTGAGAGTTAAGATGAACTTTTTTTAGTTTGTAGGAGTGATCCAGGGTTAAAAACTAAGGGCTAGATAAATCGAAGAAGTTGTGGTGCTAATCAGAGACGCCATCACATTCCTCCAAAGTGTTGTACAATATATATTATAGTTGTCGTTGTATTAAGACAAAATACCGATTGCTTGTATATTATTGTATACCAGAAGAGAAAAAATATTGAAAGATCGAGAAAAAAGGTAAATGGATTGTATGTGAACAAAAGAGGTGAAAGAGAGTTTCTATCTTAGTGCTTTTGGTCCGATGATGATTTGTTGTAACATAAAACATTTATATTATATAATAATTATTATTATCATCATCATGTATAATTACAATGATATAGATACACACGCGTACCGTGTGCACCGCACTGTTTCTGTATATATATATATATTATACGAAGTAGTTTTATTTTTTCGAATCACACGATACATGTATGTAAAGCGCAAATGAAAAATTCTGAAACAATTTGGAAGAATTATATATACAATTATTATACCGATTTCATTATGACTGATTTTTAATAAAAAAATATTCCCTTTTCCATCTCTTTTTAATACCTAACTTCAACTTTTCATACTTTAATTATGGAATTATTTTTTAATCATTTAATGTTTAAAATATTGTGAAATATATGTATGTATATATATAAAATATGTAAAGTGATATTATTTATAGGATTTTTTATTTTAATATCTACATAATCATATTTACAAAGATACATATAATAATAGTAATCCATAAATATAAAACGCAGTCATTTTTTCTTAAATTCATTATATCGATCAATAATTATCCTCAAATTATAATACTATAATATGGTAATAATAATAAAAATATATTTACAAATGTATGTTTACAATGGCAGCAAATTAAGCTGTACAAAGAAATCTTATTCTTTTAATTTATTATCTAGTTACTCAATGAATAAAACTAAACATGCTATCTCCAATTTTCATAAAACAAAATTAAAAATTGTGTAAATATATTATGTAAAGTCTTGAAGCGTGTATGTGTGTGCGTGCACGTGTGAGTGTGTGTATGTGTGCATGTATATACATACATAATACGTAAAATTATGGAAGAAATTGAGTAAGTAGAATGTATATATAAATGCAATTCTTTGGCCTCTTTTTCGCATCCTAACGATTTAAATGTATTATTCGTCCATATAGAATTATAAAATATCTATAAGGAATAATTTTGTAATAATTTTTGATAGTACAATATATCATAGGATTAGGAAAGAATTACATACACTATGTTAATCGTCACTATGTTGAAACAAATTTTTACGTATTGGCAATTTCCTTTCAATTGTTTAATTTTCGGTGCACACAACATTTTGCTACAATCAGTCTTAAATAATATTTCGCGTAAATACGGAGAGAAATTCTAGCTTTAATTATTATCAAATCAATTACCTTTGCTAGGAAACGAAAAGATTGCCTAATCTTACGAGGTAAGGTTTTAATCACCCTTTTCTTATCTTGGAACCTTTTCTATAATGTATTCTGGTTATTTGTTCTCTGTTGCTTTGGAAAATTTTATAATTAGAAAGAATAAAGATTGCCTATTATTAATATAATCAAAGATCAAATTTGTCTACAAAAATGGTAATAAAAAACTTTTATAATAAATCGATTTACAATACTTTCAAAACCATGTGATTTCTTCACTTATTTAAATTTAACCAAAATGTTACTTTGTAATTAAACTTTATTTAAGTAAAAAGATCTATTTCTAATAACTTAATATAGGAAACTAATATAAAAAATGCTTAAATAATGTTGCATCTAAAAGTTCTGCAATCTGTATTTATAAAATATTATGAGCTATGGGAATAGGCAATTATATCCTATATAATTTATTAATTATATTTCTTGTTAATTAATAAACTAATAACTTTGATTGACACAGCCAACACACACACAATCTTCATTCTTCCTTAAATATCATAATTTTTCAATGACCATTTCAATATTCGATTTTAACAGTAAACTTTATTTTATATTTGCGCGAAAAGGAAGATGTCCTGAGTAACATCCTGAAAGCTGGATGTAACAATCTTGCTGGATCCTGTTTACGTTGCTGCCGGGTCAACTCTGTTGCATGCAACAAATGAATACGAATTTATTATAAACAAAAAATTGTCGAACTTTTACAAAAATTCGACCGAAATTGCGGATTAATTTTAAAAAATTAATTTCAATTTCGGCAAGTAGCAATTAAAAATGTTAAAATTGTTCTTAATTATTAATAAGGCGCAACTACTATTCTACTTACGTATTATTTTTGTCATATCTCAAACTTTTATAATCTCATACAATGCAATCACTTATGTGCATAAAAAAATACATACAAGTGATTTATCATATTATGAATACTTTGTGTGTGGGTGTGTGTGCGTACGTGCAGCAAGCATGCTTTAAATTAATGTAAGGAACCACCCCAATATAGCAGAATATATAAAAGCAACAAATAACTAAAAACATAAAATACGTGTAACCAGACACATAATAGGATTTTGATCTAATCTTACAATATATAATAATTAATAATATTGCTAAGATCAAGGCATTCAAAAGCTAGTATATAAAATAATTATTTTTATATATTATGTATAATATTATATAATATATAAAAATATTTAAATATATTTAAATAATTCTTGTTTAATGTAGAATTGTTTAACTTCTTTAAATAAAGAGTAATATTTCATGCTCTATAGAAAATAATCAGGTCTTTAGATAGAAAGATGTGAATAAGACTTGAAGATCAATGATCTTTATTATAATATTATATAGTTTATAATAAGTGCTTGTTACGATATATATATCCACATATATTACAGATTTATGTACAAGGAGTACGCTATAAACGATAAAATGGCAATTTATCCTAAAAAACTTAGAAAAAATGAGAAATAGATAAAGAGAAAACATTTATAAATAATAAAATGGAAAAGAGAAAAACATAGAAAGGAAGATAAAATATGACATAGACAAATTGTTAAACGTAAAAAAAATGTATCTCACAAAGTTTAATTAAAGATACTTAAAAAAGAACAACAAAAGTTAATAAAAAAATTACAAATAAAACTAAATAAGACGATTTATTCTCTTTACTTTTTAATTAATTTTACAAGTAAATTATAGTTTGTTTGTTGTTGTTTACAAGTAAAGTCTATACAGAGCGCCAACCAATTTATGCGCATATCATATATCAGATAGAACATTTGTGTTATTTTTCTTAAACAATAATTTATTTGTATAGTAATTTTTATTATACTCATATTTTTCCATCTATAAATGTACATATACGCGTATACATACATACACACACAAACATATATATATTATACATATGTATGTGTATGTATTGTACAATATTATATATAAATTACTATATAATTTATAGAAATTAAAAAATCACTATAATTTTTATTATTCGTATCTATTTTCTTAATCATTATTAACTTCGTTTGTTAGTAATCTAAAATCATTATGATAGAAACATCTTTATAATTGTCTAATTTTGACATATTAATTGGATGCATATCCAATTTCTATTTAATTATTAAATTCAACATTATTGCAAAAATAAATATTTATTGCAAACATTATAAACAGAATATTGCAATGCAAATTATTAAAAAATTTAATCCTTCAAAGTAATTTTATTACATAAAAACCAGGAAGGACAAATGATATACATACAGGTATATGTATAATATATAATTATATATAAGTATATATAATTATAATTATATATATATACACACACAATAATTTTAATGCAAGAATTTATATTTATCATAAACATTTAGTTCATTATTAAGACTAAAGATACAACAATTTTATTGTACAGATTAGACAAGAGGGAAAAAAGAAAGAAACAGAAACCAAGGGAAAAAGGAAGAAGAAATAGAAAAGAAAAGGGATGGATGGGAGAAAGGCAGGAGAAAGAATTTTAGCTGTTTTTAAATATAAAATATACATTTCATATAATTAATATCAATAAAAAATATATTTACACATAATATAATTTATTCAGTTTAAATAAAAAATTATGGCATGCTTAATTTTACATCTATTTTTATATACTATTAACTTCTTAATTAAGATTTGAAACAAAAAAATTGTTTATGTTGTATGTAAAAAACTTAACAAGATATCAAAAGCACAAAACAAATACATTATTACATACAAAAAGCACAAAAAATTTTTCCAAGTCTAGTTATACATATAAATAAAAAATATATCAGTTTAATATATTTGTGTCAAATCATTAACAAAATAACAAATTTGTATATATTTTTCTTTGCAGTCATAAATGATTGACACATTTTCTTCAACTTTCTATAACAGCAAATCGAAATGTGAAAATTTTCTTCTACCCAGTCTTAACAGCCTCTCAACTTTTATATATTTTTAAATTTGCATATTTAATATTTGTGCGCAAACTAACAATATGGTGAAACAGCATAATATGTTATCTCCATAAGTATTCCTGTGCACATTGGCTTCAGTAATAAAATAGAATTCGTAGAAGATCAAAATGACATTTATTTCTTATTAGAGAAAAAAAAAGAAATAGAAGACAGAAAATAAGTAAAGGAAATAAAAAAGAGAAAAGATTTAAGCAAAGACATTCAAAATTATTAATATTTTCCTAAATCTATAATTTTTGAAATTAAATTTTCATTGCGAATAAAATATTTTTATAGTATTTATGAAAAACTATTCTCTTTTATAAGTCTTCCAATTTGGTACTTGATTTCTAAATGTTAAACTGTTAACTTAAATTTAAATAAAAAATTGATTCTGATTGAAATCTTTAGAAAAATGAAAAAATTTCAATTAAATTCTTTAACAGAAAGGTAATATTATTTGACCAGAACTGGTAGAAATTTATTGCGAAAAATATTAAATATTCATTTTTTGCAATAAATTTCTGTCAGTTCTAGTCGAATAATATTATTTGTCTGTTATTTCATCACTGGTAAAGAAAATATTACTCATATTTAAGTTCTTTATATTAACATATATATTATAATATTATCAAATATTTTTTTCATCACAAAAACTGTCCTCTTGTACCAAATATGCTAAATCATAAATAAAAAAATAAAATCAAGTAAAAAGTTAGAATAGATTGAAAGTTTTTAAAAATAAAAATATTATGGGAAGTCAAACCGGAATACATATGAATTTTTATACATCAAATAAAAGAATTGTATTAATATCAGAAAGAATGTTAATTCTTTCGGACCTGATGCATATTATATGTATTTTTTAAGAATTAAATTCAATTCTAGCTATAAATATCATTTTTAGGCATGTCATTTTTCTCAATGTACAATATATGTGTATTTTTCTTCTTCGATATTTTATTGTAAACATGTTGCTTAGTAAATTTTTTTATAGTTATTAAATTTTACATAAAGTTAATTTTTATGTAAAATTAAACACATAAGAAGTCAGGTCTGAAGGAGTAAAACAAACAGATTCAACGAGAGCTAAAATAGCTGCCGCAATTAGAAAACATGACAAAAAGAATCAGTGGCGTTACTACTATCAAATTAATTAGAAAACATTTTTTAAGATAAAACTTTTATTTACCTACTTTTATATGAAAAATCATTTTCCTTTTGGTTGTACTAATTTCGGCATACCTATAATCTGATCAAATAGTTGCGCCACTGAATGGAGTATACAGTGAACAGCAAAATACTATCTGGTTCAGATATAGCGAATAAAGCTACATTTGTATAAAACTTCTTCCTTTATAAGTTTTACTACGTCTTCTTCAGCAATTGATTATCCCAGGAAAGAGAAGAAGTTTGATGCAGCTGCAGTTCAACCTTGCTATATCAGAGGACAGTATTTTGTTCTCGAATACATTATAATATTTAATAATATCATTGGAGTGTGTAATGCGCTGCCAGGTATATCGTTAGTTTGCGTCACTCGTGTCTATCGTCAAACATTAACGTCACCGTCACCAGCACCAGCACCAACACCGGGGTCAAACTAGCCCACATAGGCCATAAGCATTGCGTCAACCAACGTCACCACCGGCGGCATTATAGTCCTGATTGCCACCGTTCAGTAGATTGCGGCCACCGCCGCTGTAAATGGCGGTCCGGTAACTGTACCTATTAGTAGCAGTTGATCGTTCGGGAACCGGCGGTGGTACCAGAGCTCCTTCTGCATTTCCTATGGCTCCAGTAGGTCCAAGTGGCATACCCTCGTCCACCTCACCAATACTGCTTTCAACTAGTGATGATTCCATCTCGCTGAACGACAGCCGGGAACGAAGAAGATAGGCATATGTTTTATACCGCTTCAGCTGGAACGAGGGTTGCTCTGTAGAGTATGACGAAGTGAAAGGATAATTTTAAGCGGAATAGAAAAGGAAAGTAGAAAAGGAAATAGAAGAGGAAATATATGTCCTTTCTTTATTACAAAAAAAATGAAACATTGAGTTTTTCAATGATAAAAAATTCCGAGTAGGAAAAACATTAAATAAATAATAAAAAAATTTAATTTAATTCGTGAATTTTTAATTGTCAGGTTGATTATTTTTATATTAGTTTTAGGCAAACTAATAGGAATAAATACCTTAGTATCTTCAAAATTATAGGAGGTACAGAAAAATTTATCAAAGATTGCATGGCATAGTATAACTAGTAGGTCCGCTCTTTGTCGGTCCCTTTGATCTTTGCGATCCCGATCACGTGGTATTCCGTCATGTCTTTGGTCCCAATCCAGCAGCATATGTGTGTGTACATACACTAGAAATTACTGATGTCTTTCGACATGAATTTGTGCACATATCAACACATTTATACATTTTGCAAATATATACATGGAAATGTATATGTGCTCTATATGTGCCTAAATTCATAATAAATTCATGGGAAGGCATAAGTGATTTCTACTGTACATAGGTACGTATGTGTGTGTACTCATTAAATTACCCTACCACCCATACAACTTTCCTCTCATTGGCTGGATTAACAAAATGTTACATGCGCCGAAGGGATCGACGCAAAATGAAACAAATAATGGAGTGGATAGTTATACTATGCTGCATGGTAAAGAGGAGGCCATCATATGATGATGACAACTTTTTCATAAGTCAAATCACTTTAGAGATGTGAAAGACATTTGTTTTTTCGATTAAAATATTATCTATTTTTTGATAACGAGAATATTTAAAATATTTATGTATGCGCACGCGTGTACAGGGGGGAGGAATCGAGGAAACGAGAGATAACAAAAATAAACTTACGAGTAGAACAAAAGATAATAAAAAAGCATATTTTTTAATTAAAAAGACTGAAATCTTATTAATTGTAATTTTGTGTTACCAGAAAATGTTTAGACTTCATTTTATGACTTCGTTTTTCATGTTTAGACTTCTGCATTTTAATTATACAAAATGTGAAAACTTGGAATAAAATAAAAAAACTTTGATTCTCTCAATTGACAAAGTTTTTTGAGAGATTCTTTTTCTAAAAATTTTTGGTTAAAGATATATATTTTTTAGGTAATTATTCAAAATTGTCAAGCAATTATTATATTACGATCGCTTAAAGTTACCTCGTGATGCAAATATGCATCTTTTTCCTTATAATTTTGTACAGTGAGTGCCTTAGCACCTCTTTCCGGAGGATGCCGTCTGTGCTCCTCCAATTCTGTTTCTAGCCTGTTGACCCTATCTTCGTGGTCCCGCAACTGTTCTCTCTATTAACAAATTAATTTAATCCTCTTTATTTTCTTTAACTAAACAAATGAGGAAATTAATTTATCTCGAGATATTTTTATAATCCTAATATCTCACGATATCTCAATTCAACTTCAATTTCCTAGAAGTTACAAATGTTTGTTACACAATGTGTCTCCTTATATTACGATTATTTGAAATGTTATCTTGAATAATTTTTTCGAAAAATAAATTTTATGGAATTTTCAAAGTTTAAACAGCTTACAAAGTGACAAAACAAATTTTCCTCAGATTTTCCAAACTTCAAAATTTGTTTTTAAACTAAATTATTTTTTGTTATAATAATCCTTATTACAATATGACTCTTTTTAGTCACGATACTTGATTTAAAATTAATATATTGTTTATAAATTTTTTAATTAGCAAGATTTAACAATTACTATGCATTGGTATTATAATCCAGACGATAGTTAAGGAAAATTTAAAGAAGTTAAAGATTGAGATAACCATGTTATACTCACAGAATTTAATTTGGTATGACTACATGGCAGCAATGGACGCTGGAATTTACGTTGAGACCCAACCGCGCCTGCGAGAGGCTGACACGAAAAGCTAGCGCATACAAAATTGATGGTATCGATCCATGATTGCAGCTCCTTCGAATCACTGCAGAAACATATCGATACAATTACATAATCATTTCCTAAATTTAATTTAATTTGAAATTAAAACTAAATTACAAATTATACAATAATTATAATAATTGTTAGAATTATAATTTTAATAATTATAATATAATAGTTGTACAATTAAATCAATTCAAAATTCAGTTTATGTATAAATTCAATTAAAATATTTATTCTGATTATTTTATATATTACTTGATTTCATTACTAAATAGACATTTTCTAAACCTTACAAAAAATACCAACCTCGTCTGAAAGAGATATTCAGCTTGGTCGGCAGTTTGCAACCGAAAAACATGCTGCTTCTTTGTGTAATCGGTCGCTTTAGTAGCCAACGCATGATGAATACGTATAGCATTGTGTAAACTATCGTTACGGAAGCCGTGCTCATCTTTGTGCAAGTATAGCACGAGCTCACGCAATGTACAATAATACATCTTCCATCCACGTTTGCCGAACGGAGCTATGTAACATTTTATACGAAAGATAATGCAAGAAGTACATGGAAAGACATAATAATATACAAGATTGTATAAGATAAACATTGCATTCAATGTGTTGTTGCAAGTTGTAAGATATGTATAAGGAGCGCATACTTTTTTTGCCATTGGAGTCATAACAGCATTTACGCATAACATAGCCTTTCTTGAACTCTGTAGCACCCGTGACATTTGGCACATCGAGAAATGGATTTCCGGTACCAGCAATTGCTGCCGTACCGTCACCTTGCTGAATTGCTTGATTCGTCGCTTCATCCCCTTCTTCGTCCCTAAAACAATGAAGAACGTAAAGTTGAATTTTCTTGAAAAATATTTGAACCAAACAGTTGTTATTATATACTTTCTGAAAAAATTAATATATTTCCATTTTTATTCTAAAAGATACTATTGATATTAATTGCAAAAAATTTAATTAACGACTATTTTAAAGAAGACATATTATAACGCTTGCTTACAGGGCCCACTCGAGGGGAAAGGACTTGATGGCGTTATAAAGCTGCTTGAGCACTTCACGTGGAAAGTTATCGCCATCGTTGAGCTCTGACAGATTCTCAATGAATTCTGAGCATGACATTTTCCTGCCAATATTCTGACCGTGCAAGTCTGTATTAAGCAGCATTATCGCACAAGTCAATGTATGAACCGCATCTAAAAAAATCATTTACTAAGTTTAATCTATATATGTCAGAGAGAACAAGAACATATTAATAAGCTTGGATAAATATGATTTAAATTATTTTAATCTCTTTAATAGAATTTTCTAATTTACAAAAATACACACCTTGAGAATTGAAACTGCCGGGATTGCAATCTAAATATCTTTTGGAAAAATGTACCAAGACTCTTTCTCTTTCTTGAGTCTCTCCCGTTAAACAAAATTGAGCGAGAAATTTTCTGAGAGCCATGTCTAGTGTGTCTCGTTCAAAGATGAAGTAGCGCAGGTATTCCTCTGCCACAGCTTTGCTAAAATCGTTGCTACAAATACAAGAGTTATGACATATTTCTGAAATCGATACTGTTGAAACTTTTCACATTTTATACAGCAATCAATAATGGATCCCTTTAAAAAGTTTCAACAATTCAGTTATATCGAACTTTTGTTTGAATTCTTTCGAGAGATAAAGATTTAATCAGGAAAATAGTTCTAGAAAGCTTACTTTTTGCTTAAATGTCTGGAGACATCAGACTTTTTAAAGCCATCTAAGGAATAGAGACGTTTGGCCAGTCGGATCGCGGAGGGCAAATCTACCGCTTTCGGGCTGTAGTGAAAACTGTGCAAACTCTCGATATCGCTTTCTTCGTCCGCTGACTGTGGCGGCGACGCGCCACTTCCATGTCCCTTCTGTTCGTCGCACATTCCAGCGATTAAAGCTTCCCTCTCATCTTCGCTCTCTTTCAATTCCTAAATTCGATAATAAGCAAATAAATAATAATACATATAATTACTAAATAATAGTAATAAATTAGAATAAACATAGGAAAACCAATCCTTTTAGAGTTTGAAATAAAAATGTGTGCTAGAATTAGAGGTACAAATGTGTCTTATCTTTTAAGAAGAATACAATATTATAGAATTTTGTTTGCGTTATTATTGCCAATAATAATTCAATTTATTCAAAATAAAATTTGATAAAATTTTATAATATTACCTGATAACCTACACATTCGGGTGTCACAGATCCTGAAATGATCCCAGGCACCCCCGCAATCCCAGGTTGATTTCGCTGCAAATTTTGAGACGCAGCAGGCGGCCCCAGTTCCCCAATGGGATTTCCTCTTCTCCTCGTCTGCCTGGGACTCGTGTTTCTTGGAGTCTCCTTGTCAGGCCCTTTTACTTGAATCACTATTCTATGTTCTCCAGCATCCTGAGGATTAGCCTTCAGTCTTCTCTGAGGCGGTTCGCTCGCCAGAATGGTGGAATCACTGTCGCTGGGATCGCTGACCATCATAATATCCCTCGCGCTGAGAATATCCATCGTTTCTTCATCGTTGTAGTCGGGACTGGACATGTTGCTGATGGCCTCCGACTGGCTGAAATCGCCGTTAGCGGGGAGATGACTTCCCGGGGCGCTGGAAACCCCGGGAACAGTTTGGGCCGGTGGGAACCTACGGGAACCAGAGTTGGAGGACATGACGGAGGACGAGACGGAGGTGGGGGAAGCAGGGGATAGAGAACGCTGAGGGCTCGTTGAAGAGGATGATGAGGACGAAGACGAAGATGAGGAACCGCCATTTTGGCAGCAGGAAACAGCTGGTGAGCTAACAGGCGCGTTGTAAGTCCAAACAATTCGCTCGTTTGGCATTAGGCCTTCTGGCCGTGGATCCAGCAGCGTGTTCAGACTTGAAGTGACATCGTCATCGATGTCGATATCCACGGCGCTCATTGAGGGATCTTTCTGGAACTGCAAATGATCTTCCGACCGCGAAGTACGTACAAAACCAAAGCTCGAAGGAGTGTTCTTGCCGGGATCGACTTGGACCAAGGCCCCCGAAGTGCTTTGCACTCCGTCGCGTCTGGCAGCGCCTACGGGTGATGTGCTGGCCGAGCTGGAAGTTTTATAGACGCTTCCTCGATGGTGATGGTGCTGGTGTGCCAGTTGGGTCTCATTGGGACTGCTGGGTACCGAGTTATGATAATGGTGATGATGATGATGATGATTGTGGTTGTGGTGGGCACTAGTGGTGGTGATGGTGGTAGTGTGCTGATGATTGGGATTGTACCTAAGGGAGTCCACCTTTCGCTGCTTAGGTAGCAGATTACTGCTCTGTTGTGTGCGGGAGAGATTTAGCATCAGGTCGCCGGTCATCATGTACGCTTCAAACCTGACAAAAAGTAATAAGCCTTATTACTATTGCAAGATACCACATTCCTTGACATCACAGATGTTTCATTGTGGATTCATAGATGAGTGAACAAGTCGAAAGAAAACTTAAGCCAGGTCACTTTCCATACTCAATTTCTCTATCTTCTTTTCTGTATTTCCATTGCATTGTTTCCTCAATACTCGGCCAATACTTTGTCATTGAGTCAAGCGTGTACAAAATAAAAATATAGTTACGCGCATTATCATTTTCAACCGATATAAATTCAGATGAGAATGACTATTCAAATGAATGTCGAGAATGCGATAACGAACGGTCGAAACTGTTTATTGTGCTTTTTACCGAGGTGTAGTTTTCTGTCGCGGGAATTTCTCGGCACACAGGGGCTCCCATTGGGTCCGTTCCTCTTCCTTAAAATGGTCCACGGGTGGCAAGAGTGCCTCTAATTCCGATGAGAGAGAGGCATCGCTGCACGAGCCGTTGCTCCTCGTCGTCGTTGCAGGCGTCGGTGTCAACGTTGGTGAGTCTGCGGACATTTCTGGCGTGACCGGCGTCTTCTTGAGTTCCTTCTTCTCTACATTGCCGGAAGTGACAATGTTCTTAGGATTGTTCGTCAAGACATCTCTTGAGGATTCTGTGTTTTCATCTTTAATAGGTTGTCCGGGAGAAAGAAGGCGGCGAACGTGAGCCTTCACCGCAGGATCTGCGTAAATTTTTCTTTTTAACGTCTAAATCTTTATACATACGTATCTTATTATACTATATTACTTTATTGTCATTACACACGAAATATGTTACAATCAATATATTTTTCATTAAATCACGATTATTTGATGTTTCCATAAAAATGTTCTGAGAAAATTATAGAAACTGTGCAAAATGAAAAAAAGCAGAAAGTGTTGTTTTAAGAGAAATAATAAGGGATCATCGAAATTGTTTGACCGTAAATTATTTGTAAATATTATCAGGAAAAGTATTAAAATTAGCAGAGTTGAATAAATTCGTTAATTGAAACTAATACAGACTTTAATATTAAAAAATAATAAACAATAATAAAAACGTTGTAATAAAATGGCAGACAAAAAACACAAAAGCGTCCCCTGGAAGATCAATGTGATCGTCTGACAGAAAATCGTTTGTCGTTCTCGTGCATCGTTTGAAAGCCGCTCGTGCGGATAATCACGCGTCCTTGGTCATCGGCCATCCCTTTCCGTGGAGGGTAGGTGCGTAACTTTTTCTGTTTATCGCGTTAGCCGCGATCGTTGTTACACCGTTAACTCTATTATTACTACAGTGTCAGGTTCAAGAACGTGTGTAGACAGTAATCTATCATTAGATCGCTTACGATCGCAAGAGTTCAGCAGCCTCGTGAATACATAATCAACTTGCATTTATAGTGTAGACGACGTTTGAATGATACATATGAAAAAATCATAAGTTTGATGGAAAATTAATACGTGCAAGCTTCTGTAGAGCCATGCATTATTAAAAGATCTCACTCACCCCTTCGTAGCTTCAGAGTAACGGGATCTGAAGACAGTCGTAGACATTTTAGTACTAAAACAAATCGGAATTTATATTTTCTCCCGTTTCTCTATATATTTTTCACAGATTATCTTACAGATTCTGTTCTCCGAGGTATTATCAAGTTCTATTTCGATGGTCATGTCCAATTGATAGAACCGAAATTCTAATTAAACCATCGTAGTTCACATTGAATTACATTGCGTTACATGCCGAATCATGTTGGCTTAAGTGACATTTAATTTATAATAAATGACAAAATACAAATATAAAAAGAAAATCGATCGATTCTCAAAAGCGTGGAAAAATCGCTATTATTTTGTTTTTCTCATTTATACTTTAATCCACTATTCTTTAATCATTTTTAATACGTTAGATAATTTGTATAATACTGTTATCTCTAATTCTAAATTCCCTCTTTTCTACTTGAACTCACAATTGCAAGAAAGCGACGATAAAACTTTGACAAATCACCATGTTTCAAAGAAGTAGATTTAGTAAATATAATACATTTTTTACCTTCTTTCGTACTGAATCGATTGACATCAACTTCGTTCACCCTAAGAATGACATCACCAGCTTCGACCTGTAAAAATAAAGAAAATATCTCTATTAAAAAAATATATATATATGTTATATGAACATTAAATCTATGTTTCAGCATATACATATATTTGTTATATATCGAGTTTGTTATAGTAATTAAATAATGATAGCCTTTTCGATAATAATATATGTTTAAATAATATAACATAAATATTTATCTGTGCGTATCGACATATTGTTAAACGCACAACCGATTGAAAACGCACACGATCGCCGTTGCGTGAAAACTTGAGAAAGCAAGTCCTGTTATGAAATTACATTGGAGGCAAGAAAAGTTCAATGAAAGGATACTAGTTTACCTGCACCAGTTGCTTTACCAGTGGATAGTATGACATTTGTTCAATATTTATGAACAGAGATATTCTACGTTACAGAACAGAACTGGCGTAATGTTAATGAGATATAATGATGAATTTTTAATAACGCACAGCTTTTGTAATATTTAATTTAAAGCTGGCGTTGAATCTTTAAAGATAAATTGAAGATATGTGTTAACATGTAACATCAATTTTTAACTTTTCAAAAGTACATGATAATAAATAAAATTAGCGGCAATAACAACAAACGGTAATTTTTTCGAAACATGTTGTCAATTAATTTATTAACTTGGTGTCTTTTTTTCTTACGTTATATAATTATATGGCTAAGTTGTCGCACAAAGTTATGAGATTCACCTCACAGAGCGCCATGTATTCAACGTAATCATATCTATCCCTTTCAGAACGTCCCAAAAGAAAGTTAAAGGGTCGCAAACAGCACGACAGGCAGGATGCGAGTTTGGGCATTCGATGCGCACGTTAGGATACAATTGCGAATTCTTTATTCGCATTGAAAGAGCACCGACAACTAGCAACCGACGAAATGCGACTGATCGAACGCGAATCGGAACGCGAAGATTCGGCCGGTGGCCAATTGTATTTTCGGATCCGCAGTGACATTGACTTTCTTCACGCTGTCCTCTAATCCGTCCTCTAATGAATCATTTTGCGCACAATGCACTTTGACTTGTGTAAACAATTATTGCATATCGATGAAATCGCAATACAAGGTATTGGAACCCCGTTCCTTTATAATCTCTCTACATTTCCAAGTTCTCGCGGATTTATTACAGATACAGATATAAATTGGCAGAACACGCAATTTGCTATAACTTTATAATAAAGTTAAATGAGATATATGTTTACATATAAACTTTCATCTAAGTACAAAATCCATTTGTGTGGAGTAAATCCCATATATTACAAGATATTTAATAGTTAGTACATATCACTAATCTTTTTAAGCTTTAGAGAGAGAGAGAGACTAAATATATACATTGTATATGTATATTTATATGATATATTAATGAGTGAAAATTTTCTTGCAGATGGAAATTTAATTAAAATTAATGAATTGAATTAATCGTACAAAATTATATATATTTTTTTTTTAACAAAATTGATCTCAATATAAAATAAAAATTTGAATCACAAGAAGTTTACAGGGGATCAAAGAAGAGGTGAAATCTCTCTTAAAACACACTGTGTAGATTAATAAATGCGAATCACTTTCAATATGTCTGAATAGTCGTTCAATCATCTTGATAAACCATGAATAACATCCAAAAGATATTGGAGTATTCGCGGATTACTCCTTCCGAAAGAGAGACCGAAACGACCAAATTATCTGATGGGGAAAAGAAGCCCGTCAGTGATTTAAAAAAAAAGCAGAGTTCCGAAGATAAAGTTGTCAAATTCCGTTGTGATTATTCTTCCACGCAAATTGAAGTAATGTTGGCAAGAGGTTGGACTCGGGTAATTTTGTCAAGTTTCTAATATCTTACGGGATCTCTGTATGCACACAAAATACCATTGAATAAGAAAGATATTTATTAATTATACACACGTAGAAATAGAGAAAGAGGGGAGAGAGAGAGAGAGAGAAAGAGAGACACTCTCACTATTAAAAAGAAGCATTATAAATAGTATTAATTGATATAACATAGCATCTATATCACTACAAATAGAATTCGAATATATGGCATAATTAGATATTAACAGCTCTGAGACACTGTAAATAGATGTTAAAAATATTGAACAATTATAAATATACCGATACGGATTATCGTGTTTACACACGAGCAAAACGAGCGAAAATAAAAAGTGCATACAATATTTAAGCTCGATACCAATCTGTGTATTTTGAATTAAACATCTTTCTTTTGATTTTCATTGCTTTCAACGTGTAAAATTTGTAGCGGTAAGAATGCCGGATGAATGAAAATAGCTGTAGCGTTGTATCTTTCTTCTTTGAGATAGTCGACCCCGAAGACACTAGCTGGCACCTGTGGTGGTGCGAAACAGGGGATGTGCTGCGACAAGCGTTGGACGGGGATCGGAAGAAGCTGCGCCCTTACCAGCGGGTGCCGCATTTCCGTAACCACTACGAGCTCACGCGGAAGAATTACCTGTACCGTAATCTCAAACGCTACAGGAAGGCTCTCGTAAGGGCTGGAAAAACTGCCGAGGCTCGCGTCAGCGATGCCATGCCTGTGACCTTCGAGCTGCCTAGCGACTACCGGATGTTCGTCGAGGAATACCACAAGTACAATTATTTCTTATTCAATATTTACTTTTGCTTATATTATTAATTAGACGTTGTTAATTGGATCAGTTTCAATTGTAATTTTACATTCCTTCCCGCAAGGAAAATCCGTCACTATCCTAACGCTCACGACGTTTTATCGTTATCTAAATATTATATTTGATTAGAAGTTCTTATCGAGAAAAATATTTCAAACGAAAAATGAGTATCAATACGCGCTATTGATATCTTAAGGTTTTTTAGATTATATACATGTATTAAATGTAAAAAGAAACTTTTCGTGTCGCTCTTAGACATATTTATTCAAAATATTATAAAATTCATATATCTGCACAATTTCTATAGCAAACTTTTAATTTTTTTACATTTGTACACACACACATATACACATATCATGTACTATAAATATATTCTCGTGTAGCCACATTTTATTATATTTATTATTCCAAAAATCTGCAAGAGTTTACATGATACATTTTGTATTCATCGTATTGGAATAAAAATATGAAGATAAGATATACAATCCCAGTTGTAATGTACAGTTATGTCGGATTAAAATTATGGATCAATGAAATGACAAAACATGATCGTAGGCAACAAGGAGCTACGTGGATCGTCAAACCAGTGGCGAGATCGCGAGGCAAGGGTATCTTTCTGTTTAGAAAGCTGAAGGATCTCGCGGAGTGGAAAAGCAGAGAGGCTAAGTCGCAGCAATCGGGAATCCCTCTCGAGACTTACGTTGTTCAAAAATACATAGACAATCCTTATCTCGTCGCAGGTTAAAATTCAGATGCTTTAATTTTCAGTATTCGAGATCGATCATTTAAATATATTTATTCATAATTGCAATTTCAACGGATTAAATATTGTCACACATTTTTGGATTTTCGTACATTTAATATTATTAGATTAAATTTGTATATATATATATATATATTTATATATATTTATACACAGTTTTATTGTAATATATATATTAATAATTAATATTATTACAATAAATAATAATATTAATAAATTAAAACATATTTTATAACATAAATTATAATAGAAATTAAATACATGTAGTGTTGAAAAATTAAAATCATAGAATTCAACTGTGCGCGCGCATATTTAAATTTCATGGCTTTATTAACTTGGCAATTTTAAGTAAGTGAACATTTATTTATATATATATATTTTTATATACTTTATTAATACGTTATATACACTATAAAGTTATATACAGCATGTAATTTAATATTTTATTAATTTTATTACTTGATGTATCGATATTGAACTTAACATCCAGTAAAATTATAAGCTCCATTTATCTTGAATCCCTTCGACATCACCGTCCCATTTGTTTCGGAGCGAAATTTAAATCCCCGTTTTCAGGACGAAAGTTTGATCTACGCATTTACGTATTGGTGACATCATTTCATCCCTTGAAAGTGTGGCTGGCCAGGGAAGGTTTTGCCCGTTTGTGTGGCCAATTGTTCGATCTGGAAAACATTGACGACAACAGAGTGCACTTGACGAATACAGCAATACAACTGAAAGCAAGTCAGAATGCCGGGGGTATCTCTTCGATGAAAGGCGAGAACGGGGAATGGAACTGTAAATGGGCATTGAGCAAGCTCAGAGATTATTTGATAGCTTATTACGAGGTGGAAGTTGTTGAGAATTTGATGCAACGCATAGCGGGTATATTCACAAAATTATCAAATTACTGTTACACATTGCTAACACTTGGTAAATAACTTGGTCGCTTTACACGCTTCATCTTGGCGTGCGTTTATGTCTATTTATTGTTATATCGATGTATTTATGCAGGTGTGATAATGGCGAGCCTACTGGCGGTACAACCAGCCATGATGCAGGATCGCAACTGTTTCGAGCTCTACGGCTACGATATACTTCTCAGCGATGATCTGCGACCTTGGCTATTGGAAATCAACGCATCCCCAGCGTTAACGGGCACCGACAACGAGGATCAACGTCTGAAATCCGATCTGGTCGACGACGTTCTCAACGTCCTCGACTTTGAGGTATCGGCGGTCCAACTGATTGTTTACATATTATTGTACCGCTACGTATGTAGTTTATAATAAATGTATTCACATATGTTCATTTATACATTTATATACACGTTTGTAATTATTTAATATATTTTTGCGATGTATTCTTTAGTGCGCTTTTCCAATTGAAATATTTTTAAGATGACACTGACGTTACTTAAAAGTTAAAAATTTTGAAAGACATCTCGTATAAATAAATGGGTAATTTTGTCGGAAGGGTCGCTTCAGCGGACACGAGACCAGAATTGGAGGGCTGGATCTGCTCTGGGACGACGGACCAGTTTGGACCAGCTGCCCGTACCCCGGCATTCGCGCGGACGCAGCTTCCAGTGATCTCAGGAGGCTCAACATCTTTCTCGGGGCGATTAACGATCGTCAAGAGCAGCTCTCTTTATTAAGAGACCAGCTGATTGAGAAACGTAAAGCGGGGCAAAATTACTCTCCAGTGGTGCAATATCGCTTAAAATAAACGCAAGCAAGCTTTATGGTGCCAACGTTTAATTGTATTTTAAACATCTATCGATCGGCAAAATTAATTTCGACAACTCGCTATCCCAATTAGCCTCAAGTATTAGTAGCCGATATTTTTCACGCTGTTAATGCCTGCAACATTCGCTCGAAACATCTCTCTCGCACGTTATGAAATATTATTCGCAAAACTGTGCTGCGCAGAAAGAATGCAGCTGGTGCACTCTCGCTTTTACATCACATATCTCGTCTTCGTCATTTTTTTCTTCGTTTCCAGCGTCAAAACTAAATTTAGCCGACGACTTGTGCGACTTCGTAACCGCATTAACCAGCCTTTTCTGCCCGATATCCAAACGTTGTTTGAATCATTTGTTTATGACAGTGAAACCTATCTTGATTACGTTATCCGGGTTATCTGACATCTCTCTTTATCGCGGATTACATGGAATGTTGGTGTACAGGCAGAAATAAACAGACCTGCTTTACTAAAACTCAATGTTTAAATTGTCAGCGGGTCAAAGGTTCTAATTAGTTTTCAATCCAACTTGAATAATTTAAAGTTTTCAATCGTTACACGTTCGAGCAGTAATTGTAAATACAAAATGAAAATGCAATTTAACTCAACAAGAGTATCACTGTTATGCCATCGTAAATTTATGGAGGAAAGTCCCCCTATTGCAAGATAGGCTCCTAATACGAGATGGCGGGGTTTCTGCAAAATTAATGGGCATCGTCTGTTGGCCCCGTCGTGAATTTATTGCCCTCGGAGTGAAATCTGTTTCGGGGAAAATTGATCGGTTAGATCGCGTAGTCGTTGCGAAAACAAGATTTGCGATTGAAATCGGACGTTGAAAACCTGCTGTCTCATATTAGAGTCCTATTTCGTAACGGAGGACTTTACCCCGGTATCGAGGATGACAGGCCTGGGAGATAAACTAACGAGCAAGATTTCAATTCTAATCAATCATAGGACCCCTCGAGTCCTTTAGAAATAATATATCTTGCTCTTATTGTCAAGAGTATCGCGAGTGTTTAGGTGGCACTCGGAACCGTTGATTCTCATTCACGTATATCGAGTGCTTTTTAAAGAACGCGGAGGAGAACATTCTCGAGGCCCTTTCATTCTTCCTCTTTACAAAAGCACAAGCCGCTCGACAAAAAATTGCCATAAGCCGTAATATTTAATGTATTCCGAGGACACACTTCAATTGTCCTCGTTTCTTTCCGGCCAATGTATCTCGATCGCAAAAAAAAGAAAGAAAGAAGAAAATAGAAAACACGATATTTCCCTCCCCGCCAGTCGGTATTGTGGCACTTCCTATGTAAAACAGCTCGCGAGAGAAGCTCTCTCTCATTTCTTGCACTTGAATTCACTCGTTTCAATACTTATCGATGAAAAATCAATCTCCGGCGCGGACAGCGCGCAAATGCCGATGTTACAACAATCGCGGCGTTTATTTATAAAGATCAATCGTGCCGTGCATCACAGGCGCGCGCGAAAAATGGCCCTAACGTCATCGATCCTTTCTCATTCTTATCGCTAATCCTTTATTTTCCGTACTTGCAAAGAGCAATTTCCCGGACTCGGCGGACCAGCGAAAATCAATCTTGCGAGAATCGTGGCATCTCCTCGCGTGTTATCGATTTCTCAAACTGGGTGAACGCGAAACTCCCGATGAAATTGTTTATCCCAACGTTTAACTTTCCCGTGTTACGGACGCGCGTGAAAAATCGTTAAACGTCTCGCGCGTCTTTGCTCTCAAGAGAAGCGCAACCTCCCCGTGCCACGCAGTCGTGCCAGGGACAGCCGTGCGTGCGACAAGTTCGCCGTTCGGTTTAACCAAAAAAAAATATATAAAAAAAAGGGCCGCCGTACCGCGCGCAAGAATCGATCGCGCGAGAATCGTTTATCCGTAAGGATGAATCCTTTGGCGGGAGGCGGTACGCTCGAGTCGTCCTTACGGCGGGAAGGTCTATTCTAGCAGCCGCGTCGTAACTCACCTTGCCGCTCCTGGCCGCCGGCGAGTTTTCGACGATGTCGTAGATGACGTGGGCGGCCGGCAGGCCCGCCGACGCCGAGGCGCCGAGCAAGGAGAAGCCGAAAGAGCCGCCGGAGCCGGAGTCGCCGCGGCACAGGGTGACCAGCAGCTCCTCCTCAGCCATCACGGCACATTGATCCTCACCTCTTCGCTGTCATTTGCCGTAATGTCACGTTTCCACGATCTCTCTCTCTCTCTCTCACACACACGCACACTCGGCTCACTCTCTCGCTCGCACCTCTGCACTTCCGACCGAGGAGGTAACGGGTAAAGGGCGCACCTTCCCTATTTGGGTTATCCTCGCCCTCCGCGCTTCTGTCACCCGACAACTGTGTATCTATCACTCGGGCACGCACACCCACGCGCGGGACGGGGAAGCGCCCGGCCCCCTTCCTCGCGCCGCACTGCGAACGATCGTCGGCCGCGCTCGGTCCCCTTCGCTCTCATTCGACGCCGCGGGGAAGAAAGGAGATGCCGCGCCGCGACGGCGGCGGCGACGGCGGCGGCGGCGGCGGCGGCGGCGACCGCGCTGCGCTTCGAGGCTCACCCTGCACGCGCGCGCGCGAGAGAGCGTGTGCGCGCGCGCGCGCGCACGCCACACTCGTCTCTCGCAGGGAAGGCGATCGGACGCGCGGCGGCGGCGACGGCACGCGGACGCGACTACACGGATGGACGCCGTCGTGCGCACCGGTGTCGCGGAACCGCGACGGAAGATACGCGCGCCGGCAGCGAGTAATAACAACAACAACAACAACTTTCTCACCTGGCCGGTGGACAACCCGCGACTGATTGAGCAAGCGCGCGGCGCCACCTGCGCGCGCCACCGGTCTTTCACCTCGTCACCGCGTAGCCCCCCCCCCCCTCCCGTGGCGCCGCGCCGCCGACCAATCGCAAGCGGCGTGCCGAGATCAGGGGCGTACGCACCGGCGGTGGCGCTGGCCGCGCGCTTCTCTGTTTTCCGAGCCACGTGTCAGATGTCGCGTCAGTCCCAGTTTACAATAGAGATTTAAACCCTGAGCCTTAAGAAATTGACCAATCACAGTCGCGTATTTACTCATACTTGACCGCGATTGGTCAATTTCTCGAGACTTAAGCGGGGCGCACACACTTTTCAACAGTTGTGCCTGCTGAACGTGGCTAATGGTAGCGTTCAGCAGACACAACTGTTGAGTGAGCGCTCAATGATTTCTTAACATGATTGGCTGGATCTAAAAGTATTAACCAATCATACTGAGCGCTCACTCAACAGTTGTGTCTGCTGAA